CTATATAATGAATGAATGTTATATAATGGATGGATGAATGAGTGAATGAATGCTATATAGTGAATGAATGCTATATAATGAATGAATGCTATATAATGAATGAATGCTATATAATGGATGGATGAATGAATGCTATATAATGGATGGATGAATGAATGCTATATAATGGATGGATGGATGAATGAGTGAATGAATGCTATATAATAAATGGATGAATGAATGCTATAGAATGAATGGATGAATGCTATAGAATTTATGAATGAATGCTATAGAATTTATGAATGAATGCTATAGAATGAATGAATGCTATATAATGGATGGATGGATGAATGCTATATAATGGATGAATGAATGCTATATAACAAGAAAAGTCATAACTACAGTCCTTGACATCATAAAAGAACTTTTTTAGTTCATATGTTTTCTGTCTTCCTTAAACGTGCACTGATAAATATTCCAGCCGGGCGCTCGTCCTCTCCCACCGTCATCTCCTCCTCGCTGGAGACAGGTAGTGATGGATATGCCTTCAGACTGAGGTTGCCGGGACGACTCCTGGCTGCATGCAGACTGACAGGCCTGGGCTTCTTGTCATGTTTCCCCGTGGCCCCCCTGCCAAGACCAGGTGGGGGGAGGGACTGCAAAGCATTAAGGTACCAAAGACCACTCTGCCGGTGCCTCGGTGCGTAAAATGAAGCGAGTTCACGGATGTTCCCGGGCGTCACGCTTCGCAGAATAATGAACTCCGTCACCGCGGTGATTCTGCCCGCGAGTGAGCTGCCATCGTGTGAGATGACCCACCTGTTCCCATTGCGCGGGAAGACACTTCCCAGTATTGTCATTATCGGGAAGCAAACATGACGGCAAGCCTATAGCGAGTATTAATAGTCCAGGTTAACAGCATCAATACACCATCGAAGTCCTTTCTGTCTCCAAACAGACCTTTTTCTGCCTCACAATGGGTGTGTTTTCATTTGTATTCCTTTCACCTGCTGTTCTAAACCTGAACAAGCTCAGCTTTCCGAGGCAAAGTTCATCTTTATTGTTACGGAACAGAATTGAATATGGACACATTAATACCAGTCCTCGGGCCTCATTACAATAGCAGTGTTACATCAAAACATATTACAGGAAAACAAAAAAAGAATAAGAAGAATAAACTCGGACTCTCCATCTCTTTTAGCTACTAACCCAGGTTATTACGTTAACATCCCACAAACATGTTTTGGAGTTTATCTGTGCCTACATTCTGCGTCGCATAATTTTACGAAGTATAATTCGCAATCAGTGCCTCTCCGTCCGAAGGCCAATTTTCAATTTTTTTATATTAGGAGAATTCCACACCGCGAACCCTCGCTACAAAACTGTCACCATTTGTTTTATGTACTGGATACAAAAGGTTATAATTCCATAAAGGTTTAATCTCCACCAGTGTATAGTGTGACCTTGTAGGCATGACACTGTGAGCGTGAAGCTGCATTAATGTTTACCTTTGTTGATAGAGCAGGAGGAGAACGTGTAACGTGTAAGACCAGCACTTTCAGTAAAGGCTTGCTAGACAATAACCGCTGAGAATGAGACAGATGTGTAGATGATGAATTCAGGGTTCCTCTACCCTCTGCAGAGGTGAATTCTTTATCACTATTACCATATCTTGTATCCGAACGGAAGACATGATATTCTGTCAGAATAGGGACGAGAGTGAAAGTTGTCACGTCCACTAACCTTCCGGAATGTCATTTTTTTTTTTTCCCATCGCCATATTACACTGAGATGAATCTGACAGAGCCAGCGAGGGAAATTTCATTCTCTCCTTCCTTGCACACAGACATAAATACAGAGGAAATAAACAAAGATGATGTGATATGTAGCTAGAAATGTTTTATTTATTTTTCTTGTATGAGAAACTTTTTAATATGCGGCGAATGTAATCGATGTTCGGCATTCGCTAATTAATAGGCCCTTATCGTTCTCCTCGGAATATGCCCATAAGGTTTTGGGGACATGAGCATGACGGAATAAATATTCATGTGCTTCTGCTCCTTGATGTCGCCGATTCTGTCATTTTCTGATCTTACTGTATTGGATTTTACAGTAAGTGGCCACTCTGCAAATAGACAAGCGTGTGACTTTAAGTTAGGAGTTTGTCGATTAATGCCATTTAATTCGTGGTAAAACTAGGGCCCACTCTGGCTTTGCAGGGGCCCTGGGCAAAGTTTTACTTGAGAAGCCCCCCCCCCCCACCAAGAAAACCGATGATCATTTCGCTTCCTCCGCAACACAGATAATCGGGCCCCGAGGCCTATTCTGCCTGTAACTACAGCCGACCCTGTGTATAGTATAATATAATCTTTTTTTTTCATGACATTGTCTGGGCCCCTTGTGCAGATCGGGCCCCTTGTGCAGATCGGGCCCTAGGCAGCTGCCTAATTTGCCTGTGCCTGGATCTGGCCCTGGGTGGAATGTGACTTTATCTCTTCTGGGTTTTTATGGGTGCCGCTTTATGAAAATGTCTGCAAAGTGACTGGAGCTCCAGTGTAGTTTAAACGCTATTTGTGAGTATCACCAGGAACATTGTGACAGGAGCTCAGACCTGTAGCAAATTTCATCTACAAGTTACATTCTTGGCCAAGAAGGTGTAATTCCAATACTATGATTTGCAGACATAATTAATTTAATCCTGTTTAAATAATTGCGCAGAAGTGTAGATGTTGAATTATGTGTCCTTGAAAAATACTTATCCTGGGTTGCCCACTCACACTTTCAGATTCTTGCACCCATGCAAGAAATCTTATGGCAAATTTATATTCCGTTATAAACCTAAAATCAGCTACATCAAAAGCGTTGAGATAGTTTGCGACCCTACAGACTATTTACAAGGTAATCAAGCTGTTGCATACATGTAAATGCGTGTGCACGTGTGTGCGGACTTGTCTCGAATTGAAAACCTCACACCAGCCAGCTGATCAAAGTGAGCAACCCTGCTAATCCAGCAGTTTGGGTTCCACAGTATTGCTGCATCATGTGCTTTTAGGGTTCCCTTGAAGTTAACCAATAACTACCAAAATTTGAAAAAGAAAAAAAAAATTGTATATAAACCAAGGGAAAAAAATGCCCTTTCCACCTGGCCTGTGAAGTCGGTCCGTCTGAATAAGGTCACTAATGGTCATGTGACGTCTGTACTGATCTCCACTGGAGCCTGTCCCACTTTCATATGTCCCTGCCTGGTCCATTGTGCTACTTCAATAACAGCTTGAGTAATATCCCCAGTGGAAAACGCTAACAAGTTCAGCACGCCTCGCCATGCCCGGCGCAAACATATAATACAATCGGCAAAGAGCGCAGACGGGCTTGCAATCCTCCCACCAACACAAACAGGCATGTATATACACAGCTTCTGCAAAATGAACACGGCCGTATGCACTGTGAAATAACGTCGATCGCATTCAAGCGCTCTCGATGAGAAAGATATCAGAAAATTCGTGTTGGCGCCATGAATCTGCCTTCTGCCCTGTGCGTTCTATAAATCATCCTCCGCCTCCGAAACAACTAGGCCGTATTGATCGTTACAGCCCTTTCGCCCGAGAAGGGAGTATTTAATTAGTTGGCTGACTTTGGATTTTCATTCTCTTCCGGTAGAAGGGTCTAACCCCTTAATGTTTTAACCGTCGCTTGACGGCCGCTTGGAATTAGAGCAGCTGTCTCCAAAGATATCACGTTTTCTGTAGATGAGGGCAGGATACAGGTCGTGAAAACACAGGATCCGCCCCCTGGAACCTTTTCCAGGCCGAACCTGAAAAATGCGATTAAAACCTTGGTTTGCTTGGCCTTAGCAGCCTCGATCTTTGGTTAAACGAAATGTGTTGTGTTTTGTCTAAGAGCCAGAAATAATGAACTAATTTAAAAGGCTTATTTAAGGCAATGGGAGCCAGAATTCTTCTGGCAGCCAATAAGTATGCACACATACTCTTACTTTACCTCTGCCAAGCCCATCGGCGTGTAAAATATAAATACATTTAAATTTGCATGATCAGTCATAGGAGTTAATCTGCAGACAGTGAAAGTTAGACATGTCGGTCAGACACCGGACTAAATTTGCGAGGCAATTTGGGTTTATGTCGCACTGACGCCCAGGAAATGGTGTCTGTTATGCGAGGTCTAAGAAATATACCTGGAGTTGCGTGGAATTAAACATCTGAAAGCGGTAGATGAGTTTTTGCTTTCATAGCCAGTGCAGGCAAATGAAAACATACGCCGTGGTCATACAGGCTGGGTGAGAGTGATGGTCGGGCCTTTTTGCAGCATTATGCACAATGTGGTCCTTTTGCGTTTCCTGAATTATAGCCATCTTAAAATGTGATTTACACTGGCCTGTCCACCCATTTTGTGCAATCGTTTTAATGCCTCAGTAAACAACACATTCACATGTAATTGTATTCACTTTGCTTCCGTGGGTAGTGTTTTACTAGATTGCCTTCCTAGCTGCAAACCTTCTCGTCATAACCGCGGGTGACATTTATAAGGGAGTGAAATGAGGTTCCGTAGCGACTGGTTTCCAGGTGTGGATGAACCGCTAAAATTCGGCAGTCTCGCTCTAGCACGGTAACCGTCCGTCGAATCTCATTGCGTTTCGTTTGTGTTTGTGATCCCTTTAGGCCCTGCTGGACACGCAAAACCTCCTCCGATCTCAAATCACCAATTTCACGTTCAACCTCGGATTTTCCGGAAAGTTCTACCACACCGGTGAGATCCCTTGCATCTGTCTGTCTTACCTATAATTGCCCATGTCTGTTTGCCGCCTGAAGAAGCGCGTTGCTATTATAAGGTGAGCCAAGGTGTTCCCAGTGCTTTAACTGCCAGGTGTATTAAAATCTAATAGAACCACCTAAATTATTATGCTGTGTCTGACTATAATTGACATTGTGAGATAACACGGGGAAAAGACTGCAGCCTTCAAGCCTTGTGCAACGGAGGGGTTGGTGGGTTATATGAAACTGAGAGGATTACGATGACGAAAATGAAACGGGCATCAATTACTCTCAGACTCACAAAACTAATTGAGTGTTCCCTCAAATTATTTCCATAACCCTTTAGCTCACCCTGGCTTACAGGCACTAGCTGGTAATTCCTTTTAAATGAGAGAAGTTATAGGCACAAAGGTAAAATTACAGAGCAGAATTAGTATTTGTGTGATATTATGAAACTAATAAAACTAACATACATGAAACTTGAATATTTTTTCAGCATGAAATAAATCATCTTTAGCTATTGCAGCTTATACTTTGTCATGATTTAGAACATTGTTTCCCAATCCGGTTCTCGGGGACCCACAGTTGCTCCATGTTTTTGCTCCCCTCTGAGCTCCCTGCCAGACAATTCATTTTTTTGCTCCCCAAAGGGAGTTGGGGCGGGGGATGAAAATGTGGACTGTCTGTGGGCTCCTAAAGACCAGATTGGGAAACACTGATTTAGAATATAAGATTTTGAAGCATTTCCATGTCTCTGTCGCATGTTGAGGCTGTAAAGCATTTTTATTTTTGCTTTCTGGGTATGGTGCCAACCTCTGTACTTAAGTGCTGGGTGTTATACATGATTTATTTTCTGTCCCTAGACCAGTGTTTCCCAACCCGGTCCACGGCGACCCGCAGACGGTCCACGTTTTTGTTCCCTCCCAGCTTCCTGTTTGACAGTCCACACGTACTGGGGAGCTGGGAGGGAGCGAAAACGTGGACCGTCTGCGGGTCCCCGTGGACCGGGTTGGGAAATATTGCCCTAGACGATGTTGTTGGGCTTCTCCTGCAGGTACGGAGGATGAGGATGAGGGTGATGACCTCCTACTGAGATACGTGGATGAGTTCTGGTGGTTTCCGCACATGTGGAGTCACATGCAGCCGCACCTCTTCCACAACGAGTCGTCGCTAATGGAGCAGATGATACTTAACAAAGAATTTGCACTGGTGAGCAACAGCCTTGCCAGGAGAACATGGGGGGGGGGGGGGAGGGCGAGAATTAAACAGCGGGGCATTCTGCGAGACTAAAATCTTTAGGCCCCTGTGCTGTACGGAACCTTTTACAGCACAACTCTTCAGCCGTAACCAGAGGAGTCGGCTTTCAGCTGAAGTGACGTGAAAACAATAGATCGCAAGAGCCCATGTGCTCGGCCGAAAGGAAAAATACAGTCGAATAAAGGATTCCAGGAGAGTTTAGATTAAGCTCTGATGATAGGTGACATCTATGGCTTTGAGGATCATATGAGAAAATACAGTGGGTTTTCACACTCATTAACTTGTTCCCGTTTCCACACAGAGATTGATAGCACGTCGTACGAACTTTTTGTCTTCGTATGACACTGCTTCTGTAGGCTTGGGATTTTGTTTCACTTTTTTCTCTCCATCTTATGAATTTTTTTATTTTTTTTTCCATACTAAGAACCAGTAGACGTTATGTGTGAGATGTAACGGGTTTCATCCTGACACGGTCCCCATGCGCTCTCCGCTTCGAAAGCAGCGTGGTTTCGAGCGAAGGTGATGATGCGGTTCATGCTCAAATGTAACCGATGCGACCCACAGGTTCAGCCAGGCTAGGGATCAACATTTTTACAGCTGCGGGAGACAAAGACCAACATGTTTCAACTGTTTAGATAAGAATGTGGTGAGGAAATAGCTAATGCAGCTCTATGTTTATAAATATTTTAACGTGTTTCGCCAGAGTCAAGGCCTTCACTCGGGGCTAGAGATGAAACGGGAGGTGAAAATCTATGAAGAAAATCGCAGAGAGCTAATCGGTCTCAACAGCATAAACGGAAAAGCCACTGGACCTCATGAATGGGCTTGTTACAGCATGAAATCTCCTTCCAAAAGTGCGCCTGCCCTACATTTTTCAATTACGATAATAATATCGTATAAATGAATGATTATTCCAAGTGTCACAGCTTGTCAGTAGCCCTAACTAAAAGTGGCCCTACTTGACCCTGTGTTGACCTTCTTCTTCCAAACCAATTGCTCTGAGAGTAATATATCTAAATCCAGAAAAGCCGCATCGCGTGGTCAATAAAGCGCATTAACGCTTGATATCCACTTTAATTGATTCGCACCCCTGGCTTTTCCTTGAACGATCTTGTGAACACCCGCCCTCCTCATAAAATGGAAAAATACAAAAGATGTGCTTTTGTTATCCCAAAAAAAGCTCCCAGTGCTAATATATATATATATATATATATAACAAGTTTCTGCATTAAAATATGTTTCAGCAGAATGAGAGAGAAAGTATGAAAGATAAGCGCTGCAAAAGTTCGCTCCCACTGATTCAGGGGATACTGGAGAGGAGGTTGTTTACCAGAAGTTTGTCTATTAATACTAGACGACAGACTGTTTCTGTTAGACGAAGAGTTCTAAAGGGTCATGTTATGGTTTTCTACCAGCTGCGCTATAAACAGTGGTGGTGTTTACTGCCACTCGAACCACGCATTTGTGTTTGGGGCGCCCCTTGTTGGCCACAGACAGGAACTACACGGGGGGGGGGGCTGAATTAACTTTTTGAGTGTATCCTGGGAATGGCAAACCGTCCCCTGTCCGTAAAGATGCTGTAAGTAACATTAGCGAGGCTTGTGCTTGTTTATAAAAACTTTGAAAAGAATTCCGAATGACAAAGGAACCGCAGAGGACAATGGTGGAATGACCGTAGACTTTAGGGAGAGCGTAATGTACAGAAATACTGTGAGAGCACTCGGGATGCAGGCTTCATAAGGTCACTTAATTATTTATCTATTTGGAAATGCCTAAAAGGTCATCATGAATATTTTATGGCGAATAATCCTTTAGATTTTCATTCTCTTGTTTTTTCAAATTCCGTCTGCTTTGGTGGAGAATTGGAAAAGGTGTTTGTTTTTTTCAGCCAGGTGTAGGGGTTAAACTCATTGTATGTCAGGAGAAGGTCCACATTGGCGTGGTGTTAGGCCGGATCCGAGCCAGCGCCTTGTCCGCCGCCGCTCGCGGGGGTGTAACGCCGCGCCATTAGCTCTCGGCTAACGCGCGGCGGAGCTGTATTAACACACCAAAAGGCCGTCTCCATCTCAAGGTCAAGCTGTTGATGTTATGGTCAGGATCACCCCGGTGGGAGTTATAAATTATAAACGAATGGCTTCAGTAGTGTTTTCATGAATTTCAGCTTAGGGGGCAGGAAGTTATTGAACAGAGCATGTATTTTCACATTCAGAACTGTAGTTTCTATTTAGATAGAGTACCATTATGTTTCCACATAATACTGCATATTACTGAAATAGGTTTCCTTCCTTTCCTTTCTTCCCTCCATCTTTGTTCCTTATTCTTAATCCTACCTATCTATCATCTCTCTCTCTATATATCTGTCTATCTCTCTCTCTCTCTGTATATAACTTTCTCTCTGTCTGTCTGTCTATATATCTATCTTGCACTGCATTTCATGCATGAGAAGTGCTATATAAATAAAGATTATTATTATTATTGTTAATCATAAAAAATCACTGTTGAGTTCAGTGCTGTTTTTCCGTATTGTTTTTATCGTGTAACATATTCCGTATCGCCTGCTAATGCTGCTGTTTGCGCTCTCCTGTGTGTGTGTGTGTGTGTGTGTGTGTGTGTGTGTGTACGTCCATCTCACGCACTGGCAGGAACACGGCATCCCCACCAACATGGGTTATGCGGTGGCCCCCCACCACTCGGGGGTCTACCCCGTACACATGCAGCTGTACGAGGCCTGGAAAAAAGCCTGGGGGATCCGGGTGACCAGCACAGAGGAGTACCCGCACCTCAAGCCCGCTCGCTACCGCAAGGGCTTCATCCACAACAACATCATGGTAAGCTTCCGCCACTTCGAGCACCTTGATCGAGATATACACGTTACGCGGTTGCCCTTCCAGGACCTATAGGCAGAGGGACATGACTGGTCCCATGAAAAATTCTCCTGAATATGGGCACCCCACTCCTTCAGCCAAAACGTATCATTATCCAGACTTACACGCCCCCCCCCCCCCAAAAGGCTTCCGTGCCATCACACACCTTAATGAAGATTCATGAGTTATGCCATTGCCCTTCCAGGACCTATAGGGGTTACCAGGACCCTAAGGAAGATCCAGAATGGCTTTGTGATATATATTACTTAAAAGGAGTGTAAGTCACATTGTGTCAAGAAGCAAATAAATAACTGAATAAAGGAACAATCCCTTAACATCCATATAAAAATATCTGAAAAAAGCCTAGTAGTATCTATAAAATGTGGCTGATGGGAAATGCAGACAGCGGCGATGTAGTAAGGGACTTCGTTCGGGCACTGAAGCTCGTTCCGGAAGGCAGAGTTCTCATGGGAGAGACTCAATAGCGCCGCCCTGGCTTTCACTCCAGCACAGAGGCAGACGACATCTTCTATGATCGTCACGTGTAGTGCTCTGTTTTCTGTTAGCAACCAGGCCGCCAGCCCCACAACTGGCACAGCGACGATTACGGCAAAATAAATGCACACCCCCCCAACGTCAGCAGATCTAACAGGACGTGGATTGCCGTCAGTAATTCAGGTGTTTCTGTATGAATTTCTGTCGTATGGCATTTTTGGTGATGCGTCTTTAGTTCAAGAGATGTGGACTGAATGTGCCCAAGTTAAATACTTCGATATGAATTTTTCAACTTAAATTTTGAGCCAGTATTTTCTGTGGATGGACCCATTTAGCATGGGATGGTTCTGGTAAACGTGATTTTGAAAAGAGCAAGGAGTCTCTCGTTAGTATATTTGTGTTTTTCATTTTCTCTTTATTAGGGGAAAAAAATCAATTAATTGTGATTGGTTGACATAACGATGACTAATAATTATTGTAACATTCTTCTCTTTTTTTAGTTCTTTTGCACACAAAGGGGTATAAAAGACTGCAAATGTGAGCCGGTTATTTATGTATAGAAGCAGTTGAGCCTCAGTTTGCTGCCACCGGCTTGTGCCCGTTGGAGGACGACGGCAGCACTGGCCTAACAGACGCCCTGCGATACCCCCCCATCCGTGCCCTCATGCCCGTCGTCAGCCGTGTTTAAAGCCAGGCACTCTGAGGACGGCTCGTACTCCGGAGTAGCTAGCGCTCGGATGCACAGCGTATTAACGCTCTCTGTGTTTCCGTGTCATCGCCATGGCGGCCCTTTTGATGCTGACTAAAAAAAAAAAAAAAGCATATATCCTTTCGAGCCCTTTCATTTTGGCTCAGTTCTCGGCAGTTGGCGCAACGCTAAGCTGTAATCCTTCTATCTTCAAAATGCTTATCTTGAGCAAGGTAGTGGGGGCGGCCTGGTGCATATACCGCGCAATATAGGGGCACAGAGAATAGCCTGGATGGGATGCCAGTTTGTTGCAGAAGACAAACACATACTACTGGCCATTGAGAGGCATGTCCTTGAGAGACATTGACAACATTGGACTACAGGAGGAAACCCGTGTGACTTGGGGACCCCGTCTGACTTGGGGACCCCGTGTGACTAGCAGTCCACACATGCACAAAGCCCCAAACCTGCTCATGTGAGGCAACAGTGATACCCACTGAACTACCACACCATTTTAATTGCAATGGGAAATCAGTATCTGAATTGAACAGGAGGGAGTGCAAAAAAATGGCACAGGGGGAATAGAAAATGAAATGTTAACTCATGTCTAATTGTCCCGACTCATGAAATTTATATATTACAAAGGCCTTTGGTACTGGCTCCTTAGAACACAAATCTAAGGCTGCTTTTTTCATGGTTATTTGCTTCTATCTTCCCTTGAAATTGCAGTTATACGTCTCCCAGTGGCGAACGAGAGCGGGCGGAATCGGCTTGCTGTATTCACACTCTTAAAAATGGAATCCATGTATATCAGAGCAATAAAATATTCCATTTGTTGTTTTTTTTTCCATGAATGAAATAGAGGTACTTTACATGCCTTTGCAGCAAAGTCTGCTTTCCTAAAAGAGTGCTTTAGTATGGGATTGCTTCAGCCTTGGGGTTGAACCTAAATGAGAAAAATAAGGGTGAACCTAGGCCTGAACTTTTGAAATGCTTGATTTGTTCCCTGCACAGAATGTAATGGGATCGCAGCAACCAATCAACAAGTGTAAATAACTCTGTGTTGCAGTAATACCCTATTAGCCATGATGCAAGATGACAGCTTTACTTCAACTGTGCGGGACTACTCGTGATTACTATAGATGCCGTCTTAATAAGGCATAGCTATGAAATTAACCACTGATTTTTCTGGGCAGGGATGGTACATGTATCTGTCAGGGGTCATTTGTAAAAGTGTTCTTTGTGCTGTTTAAATACTTGCAGAAGACAAGACCCCTGACTTGCATCTTCAGCTCTGTGAGACAAATGTGTTTTAATGGAACGGCTCGTTTCAGCAGTGAAGGTGACGCATGAAAGCATTTTAGTTCCTGTACAAATTAGCTTGTAGATAAGACCGTGGGAGTACCACATCACGACAAAGGCTTGTTTTAGTGAAAAATGGATTTATTCAAATCAAGTGGCAGACTTACAGAAGTGCACATTTGACATCCTAAAACTTTTGTAGGATCTGGCTTTGTCTTCATCTGAATGTCAACTCCTGCACATTTCAAACATTTTATGGCATTAAAGTCATGAATGCATGAGCACAGTACTGTGCAAAAGTCTTACGCGGTTAAAGAAAATGTTTAAAGCTATTTATCTGGGGAATAAGTGTATATTTGCTCAGAAAAAAAACACAATTTCACATTAGACAATACACAAATGAACAGTAAGATAATAAAAATTAACGTGATTTTTTTTTTTTTTTTGTTCTCCAAAAAGTTACCTTGCTGGACCGCTAGATGAACACCGCTTCAGTTCCCAAACATCTCTCCAGGGGCACCTCAGCCATTCCATGTGTTTGGTAAACTTCACCACCAGCTCACTTAATTATTTAATTTAATTAGTGAAATAACTCAATGACATATTAATTAGCCACACGAGGCCTGCTAGTGGTCAGTCAAGAAAAACATGGGTGTACTGAATGGTTGCTGCAAATACTGTGGTGATTTTAGTGGTGACTTTGACAGGCATGTGGTTTTACACCAACGCGATCATTTAAATGTCATTTTCTTTGTCTGCCTAAGACTTCTGTACATATTAGGACACACAAGATCAAGTTTATATATATAAATAAGCTATATATGTAGCTTATTTTATGTCATCTTAGTTTGTATCATATTTGATTTATTTTATATTATGTATGCCTCTGTAAGATTATCAGATGTCTGTGGCTATTTTTCGTGTAATACAGTCGACATCTTGTACATTTGCAAATCCTGTCTTGTCCTACCAACGCGGTGGAACTGTTCTCCTGAGAAGTTGAGCAATGTGCTCCTTGGCTTCGGCTTTGTACTAACGTCAGTGGCACACCCCAGGACTTGGACCGGTCTTGTTAACCGCATGCAGCTCTGGAAAAGGTTTCATTCTTTGGGGACACTTAGGTCCTGTTTACACTTGATCTTAAAATGCATCTTGGGTGGTTGAATCAGAAGTAGACAGCTGAGACATCAGGGCTCATTAGGGCAGGGCTGTTCAACTCACGGTCCTCGAGGTCCGAGCCCTGCTCATTTTCCAGCCTTCCTGTACCTGTCAGTCAGGTGTGAAGCCTCTAGCCAATCAGAATCAGTAATTATTACACCAACTACCTGGTAGAACTGAAAACAAGGCCTGGATTTGGAATTGAGGGCCATATTTGAAGAGCTCTGCACTAGTGTTTGCACTATAAAAGGTATGTGGTCAATTGTATCCCAGACCACCTTGGCAAATGGTTTGAATGGTCAGATCTAGATGCATCGTCATGATCGTGGTTGTGCCCACTTGCGTTCACCTAAGACTCATTTTAATACTAAGTGTAATTGGCCTAATCAGTGTACAGTGAAGATGTACAGTATAGAGACTATAGTTTCGTCGTTGATTGGTTTGATTTTGTGAACTGTACGACCAGTTTGTAGATAGATGGGTGGCACACTTTATGGCTGCCAGGGGAAGAATTTGTTATGCTAGCGTCAGAGGAGCACACAGATATCATACGCAAGCAGAACCTGAAGACATAGTGCAGATACAATACACATACTGCAAAACTACAATGCAGTAATGGATAAATAAATAGAACAATTAAAAATAGGATGCCGTACATGTGATTTACACAGTATGTGTCTGTTCATGTGTAGTTATGTACTAACTGGTTTACAAATAATGTAATGTGTTGTGACTGGCGGTGAGGTTTGGCATTGCAGCTCCCGGTGTCAGAAGGTGGGAAAGATGCCCAGTAGCGCTTCTTAATCTTAGCAGACCGCGGTGAAAGGAGCCGGTGGCTTAAAAGTGCTGCAAAAAGGGGGGAGGGGGGGCAGAATTTAATGCGTTCGTCTAAATTGTGGGAAAGCAGCGTCATTACCATTTTAAATGGATTCGCTATTCATAGTAATAGATGGACACTAAAGGTCGGTAATCTTTCAGCTGCTTCAATACTCAGCAGTTGTATCTCCGAAATCTACCGATAGCTTAAATCACCGTCGAAAGAACTTCAAGCAGGTCTCCGCTGGTATTCTGGAAATCTAAAAAAAAAAACGTAGTTAGCTAATAGGCTCACAAACACAAAGATGCTTCGAAGTTTCTAGCACTTTGTAGGACCCGATCCAGAATGGCAACTTAATGTAGCGCGGTTTTGCTTCCACATTTAAGGCAGAAGTATCACGGAGCCAGCGTGGAGGAAAGAGGGACGGCCAAGACAATCCCATAACTCTCAGCATGAAGGATTTACTGCATTTTGCGCAGAATTGAATTTTAGGGCATCGGGCAGATTAAAATATTAAATCAAAGCCAAATGCTTTTTTTTTACCTTTTGTAAATCAGGCAGCTTGAGCAAACTGTATAAAGTTTCTAATGTCTTGTGGATTCAGCGTTACACAAGCTGCATATCAATGAAGTTAGCAGGAGTAAGTGGCTGGAAGATGAGAGCGTGGAGGAACAGGGAATGTCGCACCTGGATACGGCATCTATGCTGGGCTCCGTTCCCCTGGGACGCGGCTTGTGATCGGAACTGCGGGGCAGGACCGTCCGCGGCTTCGGGTCCGCCGGTGCTTCAGAAATAAAAATAATAATCTTCACTCAAATAAATTGAGCAAAAGTAGTCTAATGTGCTATCCTTGGGAAGTGAATTAATATGCACGTCGTTTTAATTAGTGACAATGAGTTCAATTTAACGATTTCATTTACAAACAGCTATGCCGACGTTTTTCATTTACAGATCATGTTTTTATATACTGACAGAATGATTCAGCTCAGGTTAGACTAACAGAAGCCCAGGAAGCCAGACACACATGCGCGCACACACACACACATAGCCTACCTATTAGCCCAATGCGTGTGTTTATAGGACGACATGAGCAAATAAAATCTGTAATAATATGCGTGTACGCGAACGTCTTATATAACACAGCATATAAAATGTTTCCCCCCCTCCGGTAATTTGCACACGTCCTTGCAAATGTTAAATGTTTTGTTTGTGATGGGAAATGGCGCTGTTTTAGGCGCTCCTCGCCAGCATTAATGTGCAGAAAAATCCTCTCATTAGATTTCCAAGCATGCCTCGACTGTTAGCGCAGGTAGAGCGGCGGAAACAAATATTAGCAGCTGATTTATATCGCTCCCGAGGGACTACAGGAAGAGTAAAAACGCTAGCAAGTGATAAAATAAATATAATAATAAAAATAAAAGAAGCAAGCTGAGAACTTAGAGGACGGGAACTTGCATCAGCCTAGGAGCAGCGCGTACGGGGGTGGATTCTGATACCGTTGTGGGAGTTGCTGAGAGCCAGTGTCAGGTTAATCTCCTCACGCAATGCTTTTTACTCCTGCCCATTTGGCCTGACTGCCTTTCTAGCCCCAGTGTGGACGAAAAAATGAGATTGTGCAGCATGTCACAGTGATGTACTGGTATTGCCCATTTGCCCATTGCGGGAGAATTCAGCATTGTTTCAGGGGACCTCAGTACTGCTTCAAGTGACATGAATTGCTCCCTGGAAATACTGATTTTTTTTTTGTAGCGGTTTTCTGCAGGACGCTGGTCATAGAGAAGAATTGTGCCACCCGTTAGAACAGATTGAATGGCTTTCAGGAATATCAAAACTAGCCAAGTCAGTGTATGGCCGCTACCATGGCTTAGACAATAAAGACAATTTCTGTAGCTGTGCATGTTTTCCTGATTGCAGGGATATTGCATTTATCTAGTATTTCCAGTTAGCCACTCTTGCAGTTTTTATACAAAGGTTTTTATGCATGTCTTGTTTTGTTCTGCATGTCATGGAACAGTGTTATTTTGAATTTTTTAAAAACTACTTTTACAGAAAGTCCCAGTCATTTTAACAAAGCTGTACACGTTCACTAGCCTGGTTGCCTGTATTTTTGTCTCTTTCCAAAAAGCCCGAATAAATGTCTTTGTTTTTACAGGTATCATAAATAACCTGATACCCCTACTTCCTTAACGGAAAAAAAAACAATGAATTTCATCATTAAATGCAGAAATATGTGCATGTAAGTCTTTATCCTAACATCAAAAATGATGGCACCCATACATTTTTAAGATGCCGATTGTTCCTGACTTAATGAAACCACCGAACCGGAACAGTAAGGCATATATTTTCTTAGGCAGCAATGAAACAAAAAAAAAAAAACAGGTAAGTCAGTCTCAGAATCCAATGGGGAAAATGCAGAGCTACTTTTTGACAGCTGGCCTCTGAGGACATCAGTTCACAGTCCCCAGCAGCCGTGACTGCTATTATGTATCATTCCCGGTTGCATGATATCCTATTATGCAAAAGGTCTCCGCCAGATGTGTAGTGAGAAGCCCTCACTTATAGAATGGGGAAAATAGAGAGGGGTGCGGAGTGTCTCCATTGGCGACTGACAGCCTGGGCGGTGACATCACAGGTTTGCGCAAAGTGACATTCCGGTGGCTTTCTCTTGGTCTGCAAATAAGAAACTAGAAGGCGACAAAGACCCCCGCATTAATTCCATTTCCACGGTCCATATCCGCAGTATGCATATAGTTATACGACTGCTGGTAAAGAAATAATACTGTTCATGACATTGTTCTTTTTCACATTTCAGTTTATATCCTTTTTTCTCCTTCGAAGGACTCGTGCATCTAGATTTAAAAAAAAAAAAGTCATTTGTGTAAATCACACAAGATAAACACAGCTGTTCTCCAGACTCTCCAACAAAAGGCAATTCTGCTGATCGCAGTGACTTAACAGTGATATATATATATATATATTTGTTTTTGGATTGTATTATATATCTTTTGGATAATGCCAGGTTTTTTGGTACATACTGGCTTACTGTTTTACAAGAAAGTGAAAAAAAAGGTGAAAACAGGACCTCAGAGGTTTGGTGCATTTGCACACAGATATTTTCATATCCTCTGTTCTGCTATAAATTGCTTTTATTGGAGAACCGCGTTCCTGAGTTGCATGCTGTCGTCCCTGCAGGTACTTCCACGGCAAACCTGTGGCTTGTTTACACACACCATCTTCTACAAGGAGTATCCCGGGGGTCCCAAAGAGCTGGATAAGAGCATCAGAGGCGGGGAGCTCTTCCTCACCGTCCTGCTGAACCCGGTATGACCCCCACTTCTACTCCCACCATGCTTTCTACTCTTGCAGCGCTTGCAAGCTCCTCTGCTAATCACACACTTTGTCAAGAACAAATGTGTCACCTCCTTCCTCTCCTGCCCCAGTTTTCATTATAAACATTAAGGGGCACCCGTCATGCATTTCCGGTTTTTCCCTTTACTTTACTGCGTTATATAGCTTTATGTGCATGTAAATGGTCTGCAAAGTCGTAAGGCCCAAAGTCCACGTCAAAGAGAGTAACTCTCACCGCAAAACCACTCTTCTCTAATCTGCCTAAAACACCTTGTTGGAATTCCAGCCCATACTTCCTTGACGTGGTGAGGTCACCTTGTAACGCAATCCTTATTGGCTGCCTACCTGCAAGTATTTGTCTGCAGACTGCAAGGCGGGCGGAACGTGTAGGGCAAGGTGGCCAATCGTGCAAGCTGACCAATCAGAGCACACTGGGCTCATCAGGGGTGGGGCTTAAAGCTCTGACAGAGCGTTTCAGACAGGGGGTGAATAGAGATGTACAGTACGAGAAAAATAATGTGTTTTGGGAACAATGAAGCATGTAAATCTATTCTAGTAGACCACAAAAATAAAATTATGAACAGTGACAATGAGCATAATAGGTCACCTTTAAAAACCACTCAATCCAGTATAGGGCATGTTATTGGTACTTCACGTGATTTTGCCAGCTCAATTTACCCAGTCGATGCCCACCGATGCCCGTCATCTGCGACAACATATATTTGACTTGCTAAGTCGGTGCCCCCCCCAAAGGTGGTGCCCTAAGCTGCTGCCTCACATAATGTGTTGACCAGCAGTGGTACAATAATACATTTATTTGCAATAATACATAGACAGACACATGGTACTTTTCATTAAAATATTATGTTGTTGTGTGATAATTGGGGCCAAACAATTTTTGAGGTGTTACAGCTTGTTTACAATAATATCAATAACGCAAACATGTTGCACAGACTTCATCATGATGATATAGTACCATTAGTATAGTACATTAGTACAGCAAGCACTATTGATTTAATATATACTAAGGAAAATAAGATAGCAATATGATAAAACATGAACGCTATTACGATAAACGGTAAAATGTGATATTAGGATGCACAGAAGAGTTTCCAGAAGTGCACAAGTCGTCCGTGACACCGGGGGTAAGCCTCAGTGATGTCACTTGTCATGTGACTATGTACAGTGAGAGAAAACACCATGCTGGAATTGCTTAAGGTTGTCAATAGAAGCATATGTAATAAAACCGGTACTGCACAATCACGTTGTTAATATCAGGCAGAGGTGGCTGGTGAAGTTGCATGAAGACAGGGAAGGCTTGGAGAACTCTTACCCAGAAGCAGACGGGTTTGTCCAGAGTCAGCAAACAGCGGCGATATGATTTCCAATTGCCAGCATCTGACTGAGCAGAGCTGTAGTAATAACCTGATATGACCATGTCTGTGACTCAGAGTGGCGCCCCTCTATTCTGAGGCCCACTTGGGGGCGTCCTACTAACTAACAGTATCAGAGGGTCGCCAGCTCAGTAGAAGAGAGCTGAGTAGGTGCAGAGAGGTGGGGGTATGAACCCCTGCAGGCCCTGCCTCTGCTCGTCCTCAGATCATTCTAGCAAGCGTGAGCTCTCGAGTTGAGAGCTTTTACCATATGCAAACTTGCGGTGGTTTCCACCTACTCCACATATGTCAATGTGTCAGGGAGAATCTGTTTCTTCTGTGTTATCCGCTTTGTCACAGAACCCTAAACCAGGCGCTTCCAGAAGAAACGGTATTTAAGCCAAAGTAGATATTATTCCTACAGCAGCACTTCCTGCCTTGCAGACTTTGCCTGCCGTTTAGTGGCGTTCGAGTCCATCCCCGGCAACCGTCCATAAACGTCCACGCTTGTCTGCTTCTGTCTTACCATGTACTAATTCGGTTTGTACATGCGCTCACATAAATAGTGTATAAGATTCCGGCGTGATATTGTGTTATTTCTCTCCGCTGTCACGCTGGTGAGTAATCGACTGCGCCCGTAATTGTGTTCTCCGAAGGCTGTGCTTTGGAAAAAAAAACATACAAACAGCCCTACAGTGTCGGCAGTAGCTTTCACAGTGAGGGACCGGCGCTCCGAATCCACGGATTTTAAGTCGAGCTTTAATGGAAGCCGCACGCTGTCTTTACAGTGTTACTCGCGTCGTTCTGAAATAACTGTTCGCAGCGGCTCTTTGAAAACTACGAAATTAAAACTTAAAAACATGGGGGTCACAAGCACCATGTCGTGCGTGTTTGGAATCGGGATTGTTTCCGCGGTTTAGGTGTAGAAAGCACTGGAAACTCGCGGCAGTTAACATTTAAAAATTTGTATTAACTATTTGGCTTGTCTGAATTGTTGACGGAATGAATTATGCAAAAGTGTGTTTAGATGGCAGCCCGTTTAAATTGATCTAGAGGAACATGGCTTTCTGGCTGGAATTATTGGCCATAATTACTCACAGGAATTCTGTAGCTGAGAAAAATAGAATCGTGATTAAGCATAATGGAGGGAAAATGTTTTCAAAATACGAATTATTTACAATATCATGAGAAGCAATTACATAATGCTGGTATTTTGAAAGTTGAATCGAATTCTCTCTTAAGATTCATTCTGCTCCCATGGGATTCACAAACAAGATGCATTCTGTCAGTATTAATGAATCGTTCATTGCGGAACAATTTGATATTCTCTGTGCACTTTTGACTTGAATTGTTTGAAAGTGTGTACAAATAGCATAGTGTCAAAACAGCATAGTCATACATAGATTTGCCGCCTGAAGGTTAATTTTGAGTGATTAAAGCAACGTTTATGATTTTCCCTCATTAATACATACACAAAAACAGAGACATGCATATATATTGTATATGTATATAGACAAACGCTTTCACTGCCCCAGTGGACAAAAGTATAGGGCTTTGTACGCATACTTGTGTTTGGACAGACAGCACTGAGCAGAAAATTGTAGCTTTCTGTGGACAAACTGTAGTAGCCAAACATTGTGATGATTCTCTGAAGGCCGAATGGTCATTGACGAAAGCCTTTGAGAGTACCTCACGTCAAACCCGCTTTCACACTATTTAAGTCAAGTGAACCCAATAAGATTTCCTCCTTCTATTTTGTTCAAGGCCAGACAGGGAAAAGTATCACATTTATTGACCCTGAAAATGTATCAATGAAATACAGTCCTGAAATACAGTAGAAAATACTACAACCCTAAATAATAGAAATTCTGCAATCGTATATCTTTTTAATACTTCTCTGTTCCTGTCCTTTTCCTTATGCCATCCTCTACCCGTCCTAAAGTCCCCATTTCTAAAGTCACCCAGATGTTGGGGATGTAGAGCAAAGGGTGGTGGGTCTGACCCGAGTGGCACGCCACCTCTGATTGGCTCTCCTGCTATGACACAGAAATAGCCAACGCCCACTTACACCAAGCTGGCACACACATATAATCAGGGTCCAGGTCTTCAGCCTACGTTGGAAATCAGACTGTGACCTTCCTCCGGGGGGGGGGGGACCTTGAAGAATCAATGAAACTTCACCTCATGGCTGTTCAGATCCAAAGCAACGATGTCTGATAAAGATGGCTGGGCGACATCCAACGGTTGGTTTTCATGCGTGGAAGAAACCACTGACTCCATATCGTCTTTTTGAAATACTGATTCATTCAGTTCTGGGCCACTACCCCCAAACCAGGACCTGGAACAGAAGAAGGGAAGCTTGCTGTCATTTTAAATAATCAGACGTATCTGATATTCATGCGCCGTTTCCCTTGGAGATCTAGTGGTGATCAACACTAATGGTGTTAGTAGTGGTGACAAGTTCAATCATTAACATCCCTCTTCCTTTCATTCTTCGCAACGTTTCTGTTTTACTTTGATGGCACGAAAATGTCGGTTTGCTCTGGAATTCAGCCTTGGAGCCGAGCAATTTTGTAGATATTTCAGCCAGCTATTTGATTATTGTTGCCAAAACATTTGAAATGCCTTTCTGAATCGTTGTTGACACATCATATGTCATTAAACTAGATACATCTGGGGTAATTGCACTTTCACACATGACAACATGCAGCTGAGAAAGGCAGGTGTCTCTAGTTATAGGGCAGGTGAAATTCTGACATCATCAGTTCTGTGGACTGTGCTGCAAGCATGTAATCCAAATTTGGCCCTCGACGCTAGATGATTACCAGAGTAGCTTGGGGCAGCAGATTGTGATATCTTGTGAGTCAAAGGAGAATGCTATGTCTAATTCCAAGTTTGATGTCAAGGTTTCCTAAAACTCCCCTGGAATTGGAGTGAGAGTAAAGATCTCAACATATCCCTGCGGTAGAGAGTATATTAGGATTTGGTAACAGGTAGGAACCTTATAGATGGAAGCTTGAGTGTTTGTTTGCCAATACTTTTTTTCTTCTTCCATTCTCATCATTAAAATAAGTGTCATATCGTTATACAAAAATATTGCATTAAAACTGTATATTTGTATCCAGTTCTTGTGCTATTTTTGAGCAACATATCTATTCAAACCATTTTGAGCTATAGTGCAGTTCATGTTCAGAATTTGGTTTTGCAACAAAGACTCTGTCTCAATAACAAAATTACTGAATATTGGACGCAGAGCAAAGGAAAAAAATATCATACGAAATGTGCTCAGCAGTACTATACTAACAAATACTAACATAACTAACGTAAAATACTAACATAATTGCTGTAAATAATCAATGAAACTTTGAATACTTTTCAGTGTTGCATTCATTTCTTTACAGGTCTGTTTTCTAATCTTCTACTGTGGTTATATACATGTCAATGATATTATATACATTTATATTTGCTTTTATTTCGTACTTATCCTTGAACCTATCCCAGGGAATACAGGGCACAAAGCAGGGTACAGGGCACAAAGCAGGGTACAGGGCACACTGACTCACACACTGCATGTATTTGGACTGTGGGAAGTACTGTAGTACCCATAGGTAACCTGTTCAATACAGGGAGAATATCCCAACTCCACACACAGAGCGGATTTGGGATTCGAACCCGCAACATTGATACCCGTTATGCCGCTAACGTCATGCGAGTGCTTTACCAATCTATGGCGTGAAGCTATTTTTAAATGTTACTCCTTATTTGACTTTTTTGATCTTCAGCATTTAATTCCATATATTCATTAAGAGAGAACATTTATAACCTCAGACTTCTGGTGACCCTGGGTTGGATAAGCTGTTTGGAAGATGAATGAAGACATAAACACAAACTGAAATATATAGCAATGTGTTATAAAGAGGATAACTTAAAATAGAATGGATGACACTTCTTGGAGAACACCATCTGTTATTCATCTCTACGTCAAAGACTGAAGTAAACCAGAAAGATATGAAGTCGCAGGACCTACTGTAGAAGCAGGACTTTATTTTATTAGAATATGCATGAACGGATAGCGTATAGCGATTCTATAAACCTACCATGGCCTCTTAAACCCAGTTCATGCATTTGCTCCACTCGCAACTCCTTGATACATCTCTGAAATTGTGCAGTGGGTCAGTGATGAGAAAAATTACATTTCGCGGTTTAATCCTATCTCAGCTTCTCAACTGACTTTGTTGTCCCTTTGAGGTAGACTCCACTCTCTCCACCCTCGAAGCTCCCCCGTGCGCAAACAAAGACTTATTGAACGTAAACTGTTTACCTTGTTTGCCTTGTACTTTTGTTTGCGGTTCCTTTGCTTCGTTTGCGGACTTAACAATGTCACAGAATCAAAGGGGCCCTTTATAACTGGGGAACTTCAATTATTAAAACAATCAGGTTTATGTGTGCGCTGTTAAAATTACACCCACTTACGTATTTACACCAAAGCATCCGAATTAACTTGTAGTACTGGGTACATCAAGAACATAATTGTTTTGTAGATGCTCTTAATCAACCTAATTCAACGTGCTGCTAAGCGTTCATTATAAGGGGCTGGATAATTCAAATATTGAATTTAATATGGATGCACACCAAGATGTGTAACAAGAAATCATACACAGAAGCACTGTGCAATTATAAATACCTCAACCTGATTGGAGGAAGATGCTTTAAATGTTTTTTTGTTGGTAAAAATTATACCTTTGTGTGGACATCTGACTGATCATCGCAGTATACATCCTTCCATCTTCCAACTGCTTATACTGCTCAGGGTTTGGAACCTATCCCAGTCCGCATAGGATGCAAGGCTTTGTACACCCTGGACAGGATGGTAATACAATACAAGGCGTCTACACAGAGACTCCACTTAGCCTTTGGGCTGTGGGAGAAGACCTCTGCAGCACCGGGAGAACATGCAGACTCTACACACACACACATACACACCAAATGGAGGTGGGATTCGAACCCACAGCCCCGCAGGTGTTAAACAACGTTGATACCCGCAAGTCACCATACCACCTCACCATCATCATAAGTGTTTCTAAAGTGTTCTAAGAAGCTCTTTTTAAGTAGTGTTCTATTTGTATTCCGCTAAGGTTTATTTAAAGAATCTGCACCAGCTGCTTTTGAATTTTGAAGTTATCTGAAATGACAGGGAGTTTTAACCTCTGATCATTGCTTTGTAGCGTTCCCTCTTCACAGAGGATCATATTTTCCTGCAGATCCTGCCCAGACAGAGCTGGTAGTGTGTACTACAGATGCCTGTATAGGTCCCTTTAAATACTTAACTAACAAGTGACAGCATGCAACATATTAAAACCTGGGAGCCTGTTGGCAGAATGCAAGGTTATTTTTCATCTCGGCACTGCTTGTGTTGCTGGAGTATTATTTATGTATTTGTACAGAAATGTAACGTACTGGTTTTGGAGCATGTTACCTGTTTCAGTCACTGCTGCAGAGGGTGTGACCTAGACCGCACTACTGGCCCTCTGTACCTGTGTTCTCATGTGGGTTTCTGAGTTGCTCCCTCCTCCTCGTTAAGGCTTGATAACCTGGGAACAAAGATGGGGCATTGATGAGTAAATGACTGAATATTCTAAAAAAAAATGTTGGTTTGCATGAAATGGCCTGGAAAATGGAACCCCCTTCCAGGGAGCCCCCCCTGCCTCGTGCCCTGTACTTTCTGGGATAGACTACAGACTCAGCCTTGACCCTGTATTGGATAAACTGTTACGGATGGCTGGATGGATTAATAGGTAAATGGATGGATGCATGCATGGATAAATACTCTAATGGATGGATGAACAGTTTCTATAAGAAGAAAATGGGACATTTGTGAACAGTAAACATTTTTGGAAGGTATAACAACTGGCATTCATGTTAGTTGTTCTGCCATTAAAAAAGCGACCTCACTGAGACAGTTGAGGAAGAAGGGAATCTGTGCAACAGTGGCGACTCCAACCTCATTAAAAGTGTCCCACTTAAAAATATGTTCTCTGTCTGTACCCATTACCCACTGGTACCTCCTAGTTTCTAGATCATTCTTATGTTAAATGCATCAGCTCCTTGACAGCAGCAGAGTTAAGCTTTTAAGCGACATGATCCGTAAAGAGACACCCGCTATAAAAATATATCAGCTAGAAAAAGAATTTATTCCCTGATTCCGGAATTTTCTTACACACTTTTTTTTGGAGATAAATATTTCATAGCAGAGAAGGCAAAGGGGCCGGAAAAGTTCTGCCGTGTGCCAAGACCCGGGAGGGAATCACTGAAGATCACGTTCCAGCCAGACAACATCAACAATCACCCGACTCTTTTCTCTTACATTAAACAGCCATCAAATCAATAGATGTAGCCCCGCTGTTACAGAAATCCAATAGGGTCAGCCATTAGTCAAGAAGCAAAAGAGACGAAATGAACTGATTTGTTGCAGAGGGGAAGGGGGGGGGGGGGGTCACATGCTCGCGAAGAGTTGCGTAGGACAGTAGGCGTCGTCAGACTCATCGTGGTGACCAGGTGCCCTGGGATTTTCGGTGACGTGCTGAAGTCGGTGTGAAAGGAGGCAGTTGATTAAGAACCGAATACTGGACTCTGAGGGGTGATGGTTCGATGACCGTGGTCCTGGGGGTTCTGCAGGTTCACCGGGACGAACCCAAATCACGACACGCAGACCTGCTGTAGCCCAGATGGTGGAAACTCTAGTCCGCCGCTGCCGGGCGCCATGAGTTTTTGTTACTTATTGCTGGAGGTTTTGTAATTTTCACTCGGGACCCAATTATGCATAATGCATTATAATAGCGCCATAGAAACACCGTGTCGAGATCAATGGGCACAGCGACGTTCAGCGGTGCGGCGAGGATGGAGGGAAACTGATCGTTTTATGCCCTCCTCAGTCGATTCCAATGCTGTATATTAATGGGACGGAAGCTTTGGTGCTCGGAAGCAAAGCTGTGTGAAATAATTCCCTCTGAGGGGCTTTTTCAGCCTCAGTGTTCGTGTGACTGTCTTGGAAAGAGCTGTATAAATGAATCAGGGTTGACATTTAGTGGTTAGCAGTGCTGCCTTACTTATTAGAAAAATCCCAGATATCAGCAGAATTTTTTCCCCCTCCCAATCTCTCTCTCTCTCTCTCTCTCTCGTAATGTATATAACGGTACACCGTTATTGTGGCTGCTAAACCCAACGTGGACTCTTTGAAGCCACGTGCCGGCATAACTGATGGTACGGTACATAAGGGCCGTGCATCTCGGCTGCCTCGTGAGAATATCTTTGCGCCTCGCTATTCAGATCACGTCAGGAATGGGGTCTCGGGCGTCCTCCGTGGGGACGTTGCGGAAGTGTATCTGCGGAGACGAGATTTGAGGGACTGCGCCATCAGTGCGGCACGGCTGCTCTTTCAGCGGTCGTCATACGCCCGGTGCTCCTTGACGCCTTGGGATGACCCTCGAGGGTGCATTTGTTATGTCAGTACGTCTCGACCCGGTCCTTGGGGACCGCCAGACAGTCCGCATTTTTGCTTCCACCCAGCTTCCAGCCAATCAAGAACACTAAATATCTGGTACAGGTGTGTTGGGAGCTGAAAAAACAAAGCAAAAATGTTAAAGGACTAAGTTGAGAAACATCGCATTATGCCCAACTAAAGTCAAATGATCTTGACTTTGTAGTGGTTTACATTTCCGCCTTATTGCTTGTCCTGGGCAGCCTTGCATTCAGTTTCACTGCAAATGCAGTTTTTTTTTTTTTTTTGTAGTTCCAGTTTTCCTCGCTTTGGATTACCTCAATATGCGAGGATGAGTGGGATCATTTTTGGAGTATATCGACGGATAACCATTTTCTCTCAGAACGTGGTCCTGATGTCTGAGGACGGATACGCCAACCGAACAGACGGTTGCTGATTAGGGAGAACCAAGGTTACCTGGCACCAGATTCGTTATTGACCTTCAGCTGTCGGTCATCGCAATAGGAAGGAGCTCAAGGCTCCCAAGGAGGTACAGGAGCAGAGCGCCACTTACGTTAAGAGGCAATATGATTTTCAACTGGAAAAAGATACTTGTTTCAAACTTAATGCTCCATAGTGGGAAAAGAGTGTCCAATCAGGGCTTCTTATCTGATAAAACTATTCAGGGTTCCATGGCGACCTGCCCAGAAGGTAAAAAGAGTGAGAGAACGGAGGAAAAAAAATAACATCCACCTGAAAGATTCTAAAACCCCGTAACTGGAGACAGGCTTCTGTACTCCACATCACAGACCAAACGAGCTGGTGACTTGAACACTATTTGGGTGGATTCACTGAGCGGTGAACAGATGAGGGATGTGCAGCTTAATGCACAATTAATCCCCCACTGTACTGTTCCAGTCACAGCATGCTTAGTCAGTATCCTGTCGTATTCTCGTTTGTATGAAAACGTTCAACAGGTTTGGGTCAGAGTAACCCTGACTAGATTCAGAGAAGTATATTGTATTTGTGTGCTGCATTCCTAAGCAAGATACTACAATCATTCTACCACCAATTCTTCTTTCAAACTTCTTCCATTGATATCCTCCTTCCCGTTCATTTTTTTTTTATCGCAGAATTTAAATTCACCTCACACCGTTCAGTATGTCTTGTCTAGCTTATGACGCCAACATGAAGGGCACATACACCATATGCTTACTTTGCAATTGTTCTTTGTTGTAAAGTGAGTAGTTAAAAAAAAAAAAAAAGTTAAATACTCTTGTGAAAGACAAGCTCTGGCATTGTTTAGCTAACGATAATACGACGTGCGACCATGACGCGATTATATCGTATCACAAAAGGAAAGGAAATAAACAAAGTCTCTACATCTGACCAGTTTCTTCATCGCAGACGATGAAACCGCTGACGAGGACGCAGCGGACTTCACCAGCACAGACGGCAGGGGCTTTATGGGTAGGGGGTACGTTGAGAAGCAACAATCCTACCCTGGAATAAACGGCACCGTTGCATATTTCGCTTAAACAGACAAATGGCGCGGTGGCCAAGCCACAGCTGGAGCGGGATTAAGGTAGTGAAAGCACCATCTGTTGCCGAGAAATCATAAGACACGCCCTAATGTGTGATTGAACCAATTACAGTGTGTGACAGCTCAGCTTTACCTGCCGAAAGCCAACAACAACATCTAGAATGCTTCATTTTTAAACCACTCTCCCAATTGGTTGGATAAAACTACACACCATTTTAGGAATTTCTAGTGGTGCTTTTCCTGACCACCGCAGAACAAACTGTCCCTAGGAGTTCATTTTTGGCCTCTGTTCTTGTTATTTTGTTTAGCAATAAGGTAATTAGCAGGTTATGTTTTTTTTTTTTTTTTTTTTTTGCATAGCGTAATGAAGATGCTCAGAAGAACAAAGAGCGAATGTGGCATTTTGTTACATTATTATGTTTTTACCTGCGAGATGATGTCATCGCGCTTCGAAGGGAGTTTCCTTAATGAGGCGAGCAGGACAGCCCTCCGTGGAATAGAGGCTATATTTGTAAGTGGTTTACTGTTCGCGAGAAACGCACGGGTCAGGTGGATTTGTTGGCAAGGCACCCTCCTTTAAGAGCATCTAACTCCGGTGTCCCTGCCGCATCTCCAGTCCGGAAATGGTGGCGATGGAGGGTCTGTCGTCGTTAGTCGACACCGTGAACATTTCAGAGGAGCGATTTATTATTCTGTCAGGTCTTGAACTTAGTCCAGGAGGAGCAGCTGTTTGGGAATCTTGGAATCCCAACTGGTGACCCATCAGATGGAATAGGTAGGAGAGCACCAAATTATAACCCCCCCCCACCCCTGCCCCCCACCCCCTTTGCAGAGCCAGAAATAATAGTGGAAATGAGAGCTGCGGAACCACTTCTTCCTCCCTCCATTTTTGGTGATGGTGGGACGACATAAATAAATCAGCATGGGGTCGTGTTGATCCTTCCAGTCCTCAGGAATAAAGTAAATTAATCATCCATTGTGGCTTCGGGAAAACAAAGAAGGCAGAACCTTCGAAAAGTGCTGGGGCAGCAGCAGAACTCCGTTATGAATATTAGAGGGCTGCACATGTTGGCACTTTGTCTTCATCACTGGCTCTGGCTGACTCTTAATTAATCCAACAGAAAAACGTGCCTGCGCTGGACGCTTTGACAAAGAGCCATTGAAATCTTCAGACCACTGATCCCCGTATAACACACTTGCCTTCTTTCCCCCATATTAGCACTGGTGACAAATTCGGCAAAGGGAGTTGGCATTATAATGTCTCTGAGCCTCCAATGAGATTTTGGGACTGTGAAGCAGTATATGGCCTCTAGGGGGCATAGTGGTTAATGAACCGGATGGAACAGCCGCAGCCGCAGACCTGTCATTCACGGAGGCACCAGAAAATGAGGTTGTTGTACTTTAGAACAAAGCACCTAATGTGAATTGCTTCATTAAATGTCCAATTGTTTTAAAGTTTAAAGTAATCCTAAGCTCTCGAAATGTCTTAGAATAAGCACAAGCGGTTATAATAGTGGGATTAAAACACTTTGAAATATTTTTAGCAGAAGACGCATAATGTGTAGTAAAATGAATGAGGGCCAGTGACTGTGAAGCAAGGGCATCGATTTTGTTTCAACCAAATCAGCCCCGAACCCCCCCGTCCCCGTAAACACACACGATACTCCCAGAATATTGACAAGGACACATACCTACTGTCCATACTCAAATCTACGCTCTTGCTGTGGAGTGGTCTCGAGGTGGAGTTCAAGTAGGATTAGGCAGTGTCTAATTTTTCAACCTGTCAAATCTTCCATGCATTGTACTGAGGCGTATAATATTGTGGTTTATCAAAAGGGATGCTATTCTGGTATTTTGAAATCATGCCAATAAAATTTGCCAACTACCCCCGCCGCCCCCCCCCCCCCATCCGCTCAGTGAATTTTTAGCACCCAGATTTCAAAATACCGTGGTACACCCAAAATACAGCGGTATACCCGATTACCGGCCGAGCTCATGTTAAACCACGGGATTGAGGAAGTTCCCGCAGCAAACGGTCCCAGAACTTAGTGCCGCTTCAGGAAAGCGAGACCAGATCCGGGTTGGAAAGGTGTCACGTGGTGGCGACATGATTCTCCCCCCCCCAGCGTCTGACATACGCGCCTCAGACTCGAAGTGTACGATCCCCCCCCCCGGCATCAAGCTGAAATTACAGGCCTCTCCGCCTGCGGCTCCCTTTAAACCCTGCCTGCCTGTGTGTTTCTTTGTCACAACTGTCACTTGAAATTGGGTCAAGCCAAAAACAAGTGTAAGAGAGAAAAAAAAAACAAGATTGACTAAATAGTGTTGTGCTGTCTGTACAGACCTCGCGAACAGGCCGCGTTCATAAGGCATTCAGGGTGACAGGGTGGCCAGTAGCAGCGTCTAACAAGCAAAGTAAAATGCACAGCGATAGATGGACGTGAAGCGTGGATTGTTATGAATATTTATTGGCGTTTCCACAGAGGGTGCGTCAATGGCGGCCCTGTCTGGCTTGGCCTTCGGAATGGGCACCTTTATGGTGTTTAAGGACGTCAGCAGAGGTGTCACGCATTATTCCAAGGAAACTCCAGTGACATTTTAAGTTGAGGGCTCTAAATGAGGCTGGAAAATATAAACTGGGAGCAGCCCCTTCAAGGCAGGGACAAATTTCATTTTCATTATGAAATCCCTTCTCATAAAACTCAAGAGAGCAGCGCAATCCGTCGAAGGACTTCCATTATAATGCCGAGGACCGCGAGTCAAAACGCAACGAAGAGAGACTCACCGTACTGCCAAAATGCATCTGTTAATAGTTTCTGTTTTTAGTGTATAAAGTGCAGGAGTGCTAGCCATCCATCATATAGCCACTTATCCTGGGCAGGGTGGTGGGGGGGGGGGCTGGAGCCCATCCCAGACAGCACAGGGCACACGGTTGGGGTGCACCGCGGATGCCGGGGCGCAGGAGGGTCATGCCGAAAATAGCTCATTAACGAGGCTCGGCGAATGTGCGCCTCAGAAATAGCTCCGGTATAATAATCACACATCGTCATTAGTAATTATATACAGTTTTATTTTGAGCGTTGAGGTTTTTCCGTTTTTTCCCCCCCAAAAAAACATTTCGTCTTTATCTCTTCTGCCCTACAAAGGCCAAAACGGCGTAACTGCATGCTTTGTCACAATCGAATTATGACCGAAATCGCGTCTCTCGGCTTCCGTTTTTATCTCGTGACGGAATATCTTAGTTCAGCTACCCCCGGTTTGGAAGAAAACGGAGTGTGAAGATTATGGAAGCTACGGAATCCACACCACGAAGGCGAAACACGCTTTTTACTCAGTTTCAGTGTCAACGCCTTTGTAGGGCAGTATGTGGAGAACTTGGCTTATTGACATTGGCAGGGTATTTTTTCAGTATATGGAGGAAAAAGTTCAAACTTCCCCTTGTACCACTGAAGTGTAAAATCACAAAAAAGGACCGTGATGTTAGCTGCCAGCTTGCAGGATGACTGAAAGGTGAAGCTGCACTGCGAACTGTACGTCCACAAGTTTAACACACCAAGTTCCTCAACACTCTCCTCGAGCTTTGTTATGCTATTAAGCTTTTCAAGATAAGTTGGATTAATAGGTGGGATGAAATATCGTATGAAAGCAGATGTACTGTTAGGTAAGTTAATAAAGGTTTTATTTGCCAGTTTAGTTTGGTGAAATTTTGGTATTTGGTGGAATAATTCTAGAATGTTCTCCGGCAATCTTGGGTCTCCTTCGTCACCTTGCACAGGTGCTCGCGACATTTAATTTGTGATTTTGTCATGGCTGTAATAAGCTCTGCATATGTCGCCATCCTCGCATCTTTATTAAATTGCGAAATAAACTTTTAGATGTGACACTTCTGCGCGACCTGCAGACAGCCAGGAATAAATTGTCATCTATACTGATGCTAGCACTTAATAGGAACAGCAAGGAGACGCTGGTGTTCGTGTTCAAAGCTGTTCTCTTGTGTGCAGATCCATCCTCCTATCATGATTTGATGCCTTGTCATTTGCACAAGTACAGATACGTGCTTGCTTATTTTCACATATCCCATCATGCTCTCCTCTGAGACATGCACACACACACACACACATACATATATATATGCAGGTGAGGGTGAAGCTTGGGTTAGGACATTAATCTGCCGCCCTGGTACATTTTGGGGGCGGGGGGGACGTTGCTGAAGAGCCCAGTGGTGATGTGACTATTCTACTGAGGATGGGATCTGAATCGACAACCTTCTGATCACATGCTTAGCCCGCTGTGATTTCTATGGGGAAGATTTTGTTTTAATCCTAACCAGTTATGAGCTAGTCGAAGGGTTACCTTCCGTCGTTATGTTACAATATCGATGGTGTATCATGCAGTTACAGAGAGAAGGAGAGCATGTAAAAGAAGGCTTTTTTAACATTGTGTTATCAACCAGTTTTAGACACGCCAATTTATTACAACAGAACAGGTTTTATTTTCTTGTAAGCGTTTTCATTACCGTCGCTGATTGTCACGACAGGCATTTTCTGTTTCGCTTTACGCTCTCTCCGCAGCCGGGCCGTTTTGTATTCAGGTGAACGTGCAGCATGACAGAGGACGAGTGCAGGCAAAAGGATTGAGTGGCCCCATGTTGCACAGCGCGATTGCAGGTTGTAGTTACCGAAGTGATTGTTCCCGATCAGCAGGCTATGCATTCCATACCTGAAGAATTCTGCAGAAAACACTATACATAACAAGAAAATGATAATAACAACAATAACAACTGTGTTGTGATGGGTTGGCACCATGTTGAATCTATCCCCGTGCCTTGTGTCTTATGCTGTCTTGGATAGAGGGATGAATGGATGGATGCATAGATGAAATAATCAAAAAATAACTAGATTGTCACATTTTAAGTGAAGTGCACATAGTAAGACAGAACTGCATATAGTCGTGCATGGAATGATATCGTTGGAGGGCACAGCACATACTTGTACGTACGTCTCCATGTAGACTATTGTGTAGCAGATAAAAATGAAGAATAACATGATGACAGACACAAACAGCTATGAATGCTCAAAGCTAATTAAATTGTCTCGATTCCCAGCTGTTGGGTAACAAAGGAGCGTAATTGCATTGCTCTGCTGGGAGGGGGAGGTGCCCACGTAACACGGAATGTTGTAGCCAGCATGCGGCGAGCTGATTGGCTGGGGGATAATGTCGATTTCCCGCACGCGGATAGAGACGCATTAGCGTCGGTGAGCGATCGCTCTGTAACGCGGCGTGACTCAATCTGTGACGGATAGCTGTTGGCCGACAGGGGTCTGTACTGAAGCAGTACACCCTCTTTGTCCTTGAAATTCTCTTTCCAGGAAAGTTTAGAGGTTGACCAAGCAGAAAAAACGTTTTTTTTTCCCCTACTTCTGATTCAGAGTGAGAAAATGAATGAAGTGCCCAAACCTTTGTTTAATGCTGTTTTAGATCCACAAGAAGATGTCACCCATTTGTGTCTCTCTGAAGTACAGACATTTAAACCTTCCGAACAAGTAGTTCTCGATGACAGGCTTCCCCCAGGCTCTCAAAATGAAGCTGAAAGTAGATTCTGGGTTTGCTACTGAGGTTTAATTAGGGCAGTATTGAAAGGAAGTCCTTTGTGATATTGTGAATGGATCGTTACCCTCAAGATCTTTAAAAATATTCCATAAAGCTGTTAAGAGCAAGTATGTTAATAGAAATGCACTAATACTGGTAATGAGAGGGATCATTTTGGGCTGCTTTCTGTGATATATGTCCATATAAAAAAGCAGCTGCTGTATTGAAATTTTTTTCTGAGGTTAAACTAAGCTTATATATTGTCTTGTGTCTCCATTAACTGAAAGTTGTACTGTCTTTCAGATTGAAAAAGACCAGTTTAAACAATTGCCCCAGTTTCCAATGATCTTTGACTATTTTGTTAAAAAACAGCACTGGCTGATGTCTGGCAAGCCCACACGCGCACACACACAGACCTGTACTCGTATCTTTGTGGGGACCGTCCATTCATTTCTATGGACAAAACCGTAATAGCAAAAATGGCCACCTTAATCCCTACCCAGCCCTAACCTTAACTATAAATAACCAAATAAGTACAAGACTTGACATTTTTAGTTTTGTCGTTGCGTTCAGAGATAAATTTGATGTTATAGTTCTGGGGACTGAAAAAATGTCCCTACCAGGAAAAGTTACAGGTTTTTATCACAATGTGGGGAAATCTGGTCTCCATAAGGCAATAATTACAATGCATACACACACACAAACATTTACAAACGCATGCACCAGTGCGCACACACATTCACACACACACAAAAATATACACACATGCACCAGCACACACACACACACACACACACACAAACATATACACACATGCACCAGTGCATGCACACACACACACACACACACACACATCCAAGCATCCATCCCTTCTGACTTCATGCCATCTCTCTCCATCTTACACCATGCATACATCTCCTCCATCAGTCGCCGCAGGTTGTCGTGCGGCTTGTCTAGGCAGTTGAACCGGCTCTGGGTCTCGTTGCCCAAATGCGGCAGCACGTCCCCACAGGGGCCTCGTCGGGGGCTCCGTGTCAATGCTGAACGGCATTGTGCGACGGGGCACGTGGCCATGCCTTGCGGAAGAGCCGAGACGTCGAAGTGTGTGGCACGTACAGTATTAGTGATCCTGAAGTTAGCGGTTCTGCTAATTACACCATATGGCCAAAAGGGTGTGGACTCCCGTGTTAATTAGAAGGACTGCCTCATTAGGCCACACCCATTACTGACGCAGGAATTTAATTAAGCGCACAGTCACACAATCTCCTGCGGCAAACATTAGCAGCAGAATGGAAGGTCAAACAGAAGAGGTCAGTGACTTTCCACTTGCCAGCATCTTAGGACGCCATCTTACCAAAAAAATCACCTCGGCGTATATCTGCCCAGCTAGAACTGCACTGGGCAGCCGCAGGTGAAGTGACCGTGAAGGTCAGAATGTCTGTGAGCAAGTTCAGTTGTGAAGTGGTCGGTCACACAAGCCCAGAGAAAGGGACCTGATCATCCAACATCAATACCCAACCTGAATGGCAGCAAATCCCACCAGTCAACATCTTATGAAAAGCCATCCCGAAGATCAGAGGCTATTATACAAGTCTAGTGTGGAGTAACTTTGTATTAATCCCCCGGAACAAGCTGGTGTCCACATTTTTGGCCATATAGTGTATTTCCAGGAGATTAAAGAATGTGGCCTATTGGGATGCATAAGCAGTATAGATGTCTCTGTCGTTAGGATGCTTGATAAGGGTGAATCGTCCTTCGTTTTAAAGCTTCTGAAGGTCTGACCTCTACTTGAAATATATTTACTTTCTCCAAAGAGAATTTGATATATTTAATTACTGTATCTACACTATTATTACCAATTTTAATGGAAGCCCTGACCAGCTATCTGTATCGGTATCACTGAAAGCTATTACTGTCTGCAGTTTCACTCCTGAAATATCAGTTTCCTTCTTGTGTACTAAAACAAATTGAGAAGTACAGTCCGTTATTTATAAATACGATGAGCAGTGGCATGTTGCAGCAGTGGGATCGTCTGGCAGCTGGTTGTCTCAGATGAAAACCTGTCTTTCGCGATCTGATTCGTCCGCATTGCATTGCTCTGCAGCATGGTGCATTTTGTGCTGTTGTGTTTTTTTTGTTTGTTTGTTTGGCACAATGATAGGTTAGGTTTAGGCATCCTGGGGATTAATGTAAAATGATTAATTGGAGGCGGAGGTAGCTAAAGATCTGTCTGGTCTGATATCAGGCGGGAGTGCCGTTAATTCGTAGGTGATGGCGTCTTGAAGACGTGCCCTTGCTTAAATCGCCGCTTCTCAGGAGTCCCGCCAGCACGTCTCCTGAGTGACTGGTTTTAAACGGCACAAAGACGCGGCCCTCAGTTTTACACAATTTTGACAGGGGCTTTCAAACCCCTCTTCATCAGCGGCTAAAAACGGATGATCGAGAGCTTAAAAACTGTCAGATAAGCCATTGTGGTCAAACAGAGATTGATTTTACAGCTGTGCCCGTCCAGGTACTTCAGGAAGTCCCTACTGCCATCTGTCGGGAGCTTGTGGAAGGTGTTTCGAGTCGGCATTTCCAACCGTCAATGATAAAAAAAATCTCTCTCCCTTTACAGATCAGCATCTTTATGACACATTTATCCAACTACGGAAATGACCGGCTGGGTCTTTACACCTTCGTGAACCTGGCTAACTTCGTCCAGTGCTGGACCAACCTTAACCTGCACACACTGCCGCCACTGCAGCTGGCCCACAAGTATTTCCAGCTCTTCCCTGAACAGAGACAGCCACTTTGGCAGGTGAGCAGGTGTTTATAGCAAGAACTGGTCCTGATACAGTCATGGTACCTTCCACTCTCTCCTAGCATAGTTTGACGTTGAACCATTGGTTTGAAGTAGCTAAAAGCATCATGATCTGTTTATGGTCCCTAAATATCAATATTATTGGTATAAGAATCAATATACACATACACTAAATCAGTATATGAGTGTTTTATTGAAATATCTGTGTTTTTGGGAGGCTTTGTATGAGTTATTGCCCGTTTTAACCTGACTGATAGCTAATTCACATGATTTATCTTTGGCGCCAACAGAATCCCTGCGACGACAAGAGGCACAAGGACATTTGGTCGAAAGAGAAGACCTGCGACCGCTTGCCGAAGTTCGTGGTGATCGGGCCGCAGAAAACCGGTACGTAGAGCAGAAGGCGGCGCTTTATATGGGGGCCGTAGGAGCTAATTTTGATTGATTCGCTCCAGGCAGTTTGGCACAGCTCCTGGACAACCTAAGTGAACGGCAACCTGTGCATTGTCCTTCTGTTTTCTTTTCTCTTTTATCTTGATTTTTTTCCCCCCCGTCCTCCTCAGAAACAGTGTTTTGGGTTTAATCAGAGAGAGAGAGAGAGAGTGAAATCAGAATCCGCTCACGGTCGAAGGAATCGGAGACCTTTCCTGCGGTTTTCCAACGCAGCCGCTAAGCCCCGCTAATGCTATAAAAATTTTGTTTATTAGAGTCCGAGACGTGAAACGGGGAATGCGAGCCATCGGGTTTCCCTGTAGAATGTCTTCTCCTTCCACCGGTTTGTCCGTTTTGTATTGTGATCCCCCGACGGCTGGTTTAACATGAATTAACTTCAGAATGAAAGGGGACTTTCAGAGGGCAGTGCGTGGATGTAATTCAGCTCGGCGCAGAAGCGCATGCCAGACCGTCATAGATCCCGACCCGCTCAGCTCTCTCTGACATTGCACTCGACAGCGTGACACTCCAGGCTTTATAACCCCTTACACCGTCTCATTTTCGTGAGGGTTTAGTGTTAATGGCTCATACCATCACACCTCTGTCCTTTCATAGAACTGCTTGCAGTTCTGTGTATTTTACATCTCGCCCTGTACTTAGACTTATAGATGCCTTTCTTATAGCTCTTGATGCTCCTTAAAAGTCTTTGAAGGCGTAAGTAAAGAATGTGAAATGTCAAGAGCTGCTCCATGTCAGATTTCTTTTTTGAAAGTGTATCCCGTAAGAGGAACCATTGTAAATTTATACTTCGATGTCTTAGAAAGTGATCTCTTTGAAGGCTAATTTTATTTGAACACTAATACATGTTTTCTTCATAATTTTAGTGGATTTCCATCATTCAGTATTTCAGTCTGTAACATCTCAGTCTCCGTATGCATGTTATAACACGTTCGGTGATGGTGTAGAATGTAACATTTTGCAAAAATGGGGTTTTATTAAGATGTATTGAAATTTAGAATAGAAATATGGACCAGATTATGGTCATAATTGCACAGATAAGTAAAAATAAAGTTTGGGGATATGTGTAATTCCTATTTCAACCACAACAGCATTGTTTTTCGTATGAACTTGATATTAGTGCTTCATAAATTGGGGGATCATGACGTAACATCATCTTTTGAAATGGCTTATTCTCAGGAACCACAGCGCTGTACCTCTTCCTCATCATGCACCCGTCCATATCAAGCAACCTTCCCAGTCTGAAGACCTTCGAGGAAGTTCAGTTCTTCAACACCAACAACTACCACAAGGGTATCGACTGGCAAGTAGCATTTTTAATCAATGCTTTCGTCGGCTTTGTTCTGCTAGAATGATTAACCTCATTGTTCGCGTTAGGGTGTAGTTGGTTAGCGTGGGGGGCCCTTTTGGAAGAATTTATACATTTCTGAAACAACACAAAGATGAAGCCATTTTAGGACTTGTTTTTCTAAAGTGGGGGCATAAGAGGGGCCATAAATCATAGGGAAGGACCAGCTAGCCAATGATATGTTTTGAATTGGTGAGTGGCATGGGAGGGGCTCTCTAAGGGCATATCAGCTTTCAGTTGGGGGGCGGGGCTCCATACAGAGCATCATCTCTTGTCTTTAACATTTGAAACTTAAAAGAGAGGAGAAACATTGCAAGTCATATGGGTCACCCGAGAGCAGGGGGATGAGCCACCGAGGGCTGTGGGGCTTATCCTGGCCTGTCAGGACTCGACCCGTGGGCTTCAGCCATTCCGGGCCAAGGTCACCCGGTGCTGCAAGTCGCAAGCGGCAGCAGTGACCTCCGGCGTACACGGCTCATCGAGCGGAGTCCCGCCTGAGGCTCGGTACCAGAGCTGTCCCCGAGGTCCCATTCACCTCCACGGGTCGGCCGGCGCGAGACCGGATATCCCCACGTCTCCGCCTATGCCGCGTTGACATTTTGGTCATCAGGCACTCATAAAAAAGTCCCGTGATGGATCAAAATAGGTCTGCAAAGGTCACGTTTCAGGACTGGGCTTTCATCACGTTGTGCTATGGATTAGCATAAAATAACACGGGGATTTAAAATGTCATTGTGTCGTTAATGAGATGGCGACCCAGTGCACGGGCTATCAACAGCGAAACGCTTGCAAGTCCACAACTACTGTTACTGGCAATTAATGTTGCACACACTACCTGAAATGCTTATTATTATACATCTTTATTATTTATTGCAGAAAATTACAGCTTATGAACATTATGTCGAATTTTAAGTGACGTTATGTCAAATTCTGATTCTGGACCATTTTTATTTTCTATCATATGAAAACTCTGTTTCCGATACTGATTTTAAGGAGCATTTTACCAATAGTATCAGTTTATATAATTTCATATGGTCAAAAATTAAACTTACACCAATAGTTTTACTTAAACAATGCTTTACTGACACATGATTGTCTCTTAAAATTATAAAGCAAGCTACCTCATAACAACCTTAAAACAAAAAAATAACAAATTCTTTTATTAAGCTCAGAAACTAGCATAAAGTTAGAGAACTTTAATGAAAGCGGCTTGGTCAATTGCTAATCATGGCAAGGTTGCGTGTTAAATCCCGGTATGGGCCAGAAATTCCCTTCGGAGATTAAAAAAGCCTCCGTCCATCAATTCGTCCGTCATCTATCTATCAGAGGTGGAGATTTCAGGTCTAGAGTACAAATCCAGACCAAGATTTTATTTCAACCAACCAGTTGAGTATCTGTGACTGTGACTCTTTATACTCAAATGATTGGTTGAAATAAAATCTTGGTCTGGATTTGTACTCTCTGGACCTGAAATCTCTACTTCCCTTCTTTCCTTCCTTTCTGTCTGTCTGTCTGTCTGTCTGTCTATCTATCTATCTATGTCATGTTTAGTCTGGTATACTACAATATTTCCATTCCCAGCTGATGACTAACTTTTATATTATGCATATTTTTCTAGCAATTACAGACTAGATTTTCCCATATATATTTCTCATATGGTTTCTACTTATATGTTTTGCTTATGTATTCATTTTTGTAATCCTATGGCCCAGGCTATCACTGGCTGATGACGTTCTCACAGAAATGGATATCCTTTCATTATATTATATTATCAATATACCAGTCTCTTTTAGGCCATAGCATGTTTCAGATTCCCATTTGGGAGCTTGTGTGTTTATTTATTATTGTCCAGAGCAAATGTAATCACTCACATAGTGCGGAAGCAGGGAAGAGGGAGGAGAGCCATATTTTAGCACCAGAGGTGTCTGGCATTAACCTAGACACCCCCAGGGTCCTCGCTGTGCATAGAGCAAATTGGGGGGAAAAAAATGCTAGAAAATGAAGAATGCATTAATCGGCGATTTGTGTGGTTGTCACTATACCACACCAATGGTCTTAAAATGGTGTTGTGTGCTGGTGTTAAAAAATGTGTGCTGGTGAACGGATACACATGGATGGCACGCTGAAACAGTACACAATAGTGAGCTGGGAATATTCACGCTCTCCAGGCACATCAAAGCCAACAATAAATTTAAGAGGAGTATTGAGCCGGCACATGTGGGGAGGGGGGGGTGGGCGGTTTGCCTATGTGACTGATTGTGCTCCCCATTTGAGGTTCTAAGTAGCCCTTTCCGGTAAGTGATGATCACGCAGAATCTACTGAGGAGCACCCCCCCCCCTCCCCCCCGAGGGCCCTTGAACAGTCTTAGCATGGCAGTGGTATTGAGAGTACTTCTTAAAGATTAGGATGCCGTGTAATGGGCATTTAGTTCATTACCGTCTGTAATCAACAGCAGAATGGAAGGACAAGATATGGGAAAGGCTGAGGGCGTCCACTGAGCAGGGAAATAGACCCAAAGAGAGCAGAGCCTTGACGTAATTCAGCAGAGCAGGGTTATGGTGATATCAAGGAATATTATGCAGCGTGTCGCAATCAATAAAGAAAGAAGGTTTAGTAGGACAAATCAGGGCAGAGGGCGAAGAACAGCGAAAACAAAGTTTTGCGCCCTTGATTATGAACAGGTCAGTTTTGTGTGTTTGAAAAATAGACATTCAAATATTTACTACCTAGGTTTTGAGAGTTAATCTCAATCCATTTCTCAGTTCATTTCTGAATCATCTGTCTGATTTGATTTGCACTAGGTGCAAATCTGTGGAGCCCCTAAAGTGACAGGGTTTTTTTAACAGTTCCCTCGCAACCCTGTCTTGTGACCTTTTGCCGTGCCGCGCAATCCCACAGATCCAACGGTAATGGATCACCCGATTGATTTTTACTTTGAACTTAGTCTAATATACACAGATATTGTATTAATGCTTAATTAAATCCCATGGATTTGTTGTCGCCAAAGTCTAATTGAGTAAACGCAAAACAATTTGCGAGAGATGGCAGAGCTGTTTCGAAAGAAAAATTTCCGGCCCTGTCCCCTTGGGGGCGCTATACAAATCAGTATATCACAATGCATATCTACATACAGTGATGCGGTGCACGTTTCAGTCAACAACGGACTGCTTATATGACGTGGCGCCATTGGATGATGATGGAGATGAGAAATTCCTATCGCCGAGTGACGTCGTAGCTGTCGTAACGTCATAGCGCAACACGTCTCTCACTTGTTTGTGGTGATGCTGGTGTATGCAAACTTACTGAACCGCCAGTTGTATAAAAGGTTTGCACATGCAATTATGTACAGCGCATCATATTTGATAATGATAAAAAGCAACTATGTTACTCGTTTACTTATTTACTATCATTTTATCGTTTTTAGGCTATACCATAAATCCTTGGTGTTTTTTAGGTTTGTGTAAGTACAGTCCGTGATGATCATGATCACACAACGATGACACTGTCTAACGTCACATTCCTCAGAATGTTTTTCCGCATTGTTAAGTGACGAATGACTGTACTTCCATTCATTCACATGGTCACAGTCAGATTTGCGATTCACAAATATATTGTGGGCTGGGTAAGTATTTCATCATTGTGCCCTAGAGTAAGGCCCCTAACCCCCCAGCCGTGCCAGGGACTGGCTGTCCCCGCTCTCTCAAACAAAAAGAATGTTTGTCGCTTCGGATAAAAGCGCCTACTAAATAAATTAAATGTAAATGTAAATATTGCGGCTGTGTTTGGACTGTGGGAGGAAACCGGCGCATGCAGGAAAACACAGGAAGGGCATGTAAATTCATAGAACCAGGGCCAGATTCAGATGAGAAATTTAAGCTATTTTCTATTGAGTAGAAGCAAGGTGATTTATAAACAGAAATCAGCAGCACTGGAAGTAAAACATCTCTTAATGAAAGGGAGTAAAAGGAGCGAAAGATCCAGGGAGACGGCTGGGAACGGCGGTCTGGGTACAGGGGCCCGAAGGCAAACTGGTCTGGGCAATAAATCAGAGGTTTGTTCAGGCTGAACGTGCATCCACCGTGCACCGTAGACGGCAGCTGCAGGAAGACGGGGACGTTTTAACTCGTCTGCTCCTGGCCGGCGCTCGGCAAGAATGCTTGGGGAACAGACTGAACAGTCACGGTGATCGGTAATTCCTGTCTCGGGCCGTTTAATGCCGGCGCGGAGTGCCCTCGCTCCGCTCTAGTGAACGGCGTTAGCCTGCCAGCTGAAATGACCAGGTCATAATGTGTGGCTGTGATGCCGCAAACACGGAGCTTCCTCCAGATATTCTGCTGCTCCGGATGCTACACAAGAGTTTATTAGTGGTTTCAGGTAATAAGGCAACAGAGAGAGGCTTAAGACCATATGCGTGTGCACTTTTCACAAATTATAATTACTGTGTGCATAGATAGAGGGGTACTGTAAAGGGTGAAGGAGTTAGCCTGATTCCAAATGACAGGGGCCCTAAAAATACTAGAACGTAATTGCATTGGTTTGTGGTTGGGGGCCCAATATATTTATGTCATGGGGTCCAAAATCTCTAGTGGCACCGATGGATGGAGTAAATGAACTTGAGGGGAAAAAAATGCGATAGATAGATTGCCGACAGTGTTAAATCACGTGACCTGGCCATCTGACCTAAACGCAGTGGAGATGTTTTTGGAGAAGCTTGGCCAGAGACAAAGCAGCCAGTCAGTGCTCAGAATATATGGGAGACGTCCTTCAGGATGAGGGCTGCTGGAAACGCATCCCAAGAGGACACTTAAACTGGCGTAGAGGAGAAAGTAGGATCAGCCAGACCTGGGAGCAAATGGGGTTAAAGGACTTGCTTAGGGGCCTAATGGTGGGATCCTTCCGCCGACCATGGGGATTTAATCCAGCAACCTTCTGAGTCCCAACCCAAAGAGCTGTCTCCACCCAAAGGATTATTTTTTTTATGTTTAATACTTCTTTGGTCAGTGCATAATTCCATATATGTTATTCTATAGTTCTGATGTCCTTATAATAATTCTAAAATATGCAAAACAATTCAAATAACCCTTTCCATGAGTTGGTCTGTTCAAACGTTTGATTGGTACTGTGTGTATGTATATATATGTGTTTATGTCTGTATATACATATGTATGTTGACATGGCCCCCATATCTACGGTTGGGGGCTCCCCCCTGCCCCCCCTCTGTGTATGTGAAGTCCGCATGTCCTCCCCCACGCTCATGAAGGTCTCCTCCAGGGACTCTGGTTTCCCCTCCAGCGTACAAAAACATGCGCTTAGGCAGATTTCGGTCCCTAAATCAGACTGGTGTGTTGCTGCGTGTGAGCGTGCCCAGTGATGGACTCGCCGTGCGCGCTCCTGCGCCCGTTGTCCTGGTGCTTTCTGGGAATCGCTCCAGGCTCACCGCGATCCTATACTGGCTATGCATTTCTGCAAAACGCATGGATATTTAAATCTCTTTTTTTTTTTTTTCCCTCCCACAGGTACATGGAGTTTTTCCCCGTCCCTTCGAACGTGACCACCGACTTCCTGTTTGAGAAGAGTGCCAACTACTTCCCGTCTGAGGATTCTCCCAGGCGGGCAGCCGCTCTGCTGCCCAAAGCCAAAATCATTACGCTGCTAATCAACCCCTCGGACAGAGCTTACTCTTGGTACCAGGTAAAAGCACCCTCCCTCACACTGCTTTCAGCTTCTACTCAAGTTCCTTCTGCTAATTAAAGCACCACAATCCTCAGGAGGATTGTTCCGTTTGTGTTGATAGTGAACGACGGTGACAATCTGCACAGATATGACTGTTCTGTAAAAAATGTGGTTAGCTTGCCAAAGTCTCCACTCTGGGTTTTATTAATCCTTGGGTGTGAATTCAGCGTTGTGGTCAGGCACGTGCTGGATGACTTGGCAGGGGGTCCTGGACTCTCTGAGTCATGTGACTGATGGCATCCAATAGGGCAGAGCTAGCGTAATAATGGCGGTCAGAGCCACTGAACACCCAGGGTTCTTAACACTCTGTCTCAGGCAGGCATGTGTGTTGGGAGGGGGTGGCAAAGAAATAGAGTTGACCTCAGTTTCAACTTCGACGCTCTGCGTTTTTTATTGACTTGCGGCTGTCCAGAATACATCAGCTGAAATTATAAGTCCCCAGATCGGTGTGGGGGGAGAGAGCCGGGGGCCCCCCCATGTTTTTCTCCTCCTCTCCCAGAGCCCCCGGGCAGCATTAGTGTTGATTTCTTTGTGTTGAGGCTTAATGGCAGCCTTACCCAGGGAGGCGTGTTTGCTAAAAAGCCATTTTTTCCCTGAATGGTCTCCTAAGGAAAGGTCAGGCCCTCCGTATAGGCTTTTACAGACCATAATATTCCCCACGTGAAAAGTCTCATTCGCATCGTTTTCCCATAAGGCTTTCCTTCGTTTTAATTGATAATTCATTACTAGGTATGCCTGAAAGCTAGTAGCTGAAGTGGTAGACGGAGCACAATTGATGATGTCTAACCTTTGTGTTTTTCCTTAAATTTAAGTTTAAACTTCACATTTTTCAGAGCTAAGATTAAGCATTGCGCCTGACATTACACATAGATGGTCATCCATCACTCATGTGTCTTTAGAGTTTATCTAGTACAAGGTGACGGTGAGCGGGCGGTCTGTCCCAGAAAGCTCTGGGTGTGAGATGTGGGACGCTGTAGGTGGCATGCGAGTACATTGCCAGGCACAGATTGACACCAGGGTCATTATCCTTAAGGAAAACTCAAGCCGAAAGGAAACATTTGCGAAAACGGAAATAAAGTAAAATATGAAAATAAAATAAACGCTACAGCAACAAATATTGCTTCCAAAACTAACAAAAATAAAATAAAAACAAACGTTCAGTTCCCATTCTTAATATTATTTAGCTAAAGTAATGGTTTGTTTTTAATTACCTTTTAATAATACCAACAGCATGTTTTGCCCATTTTGAGGAAATTATTAATGTGCACTGTGTATTGATGTAAGATCAGACACATAAAATATCTTTACAAGTTTTGGTCTCTCCCTAGAAATAAAAAAACTGAATCTTGAACTGAAACTAAAATATACACTAAACAGAAATTTACCTTTAAAATTAAAACTAATAAAACCACACTGAAAACTAATTAAAACTGAACAGAATTTCAAATGAAATTTTTAAATAATATACTAAAAACTTAATCAAAAAACCACAACCATAATAGCACTGATTCACACACCGTTTAAAGGCTCCAGTTTACCAGATTGATTTTGGACATGGTGGGAATGTGTTCTGACACAGGATTTTTCAGATGAACATACAGATTGCAGGCAGACAGACCCAGGGGTGGGATTTGAACCCACAACCCTACAAATTTAAGGCAACTTCAGTGTCAGTTTAACTTTCAAATTTAATTTCAATTGTTTCAATTTCATTCCAACTTCAATTTCAGTTTCAAGAGCGCTAATCATTAAACGGCGTATGTAGCAATTCTGGAGCTATTCTGGTACAATATATTGTTCTCGGGAACGATACAATCCCAAATAATACAACACACACACTGAGTTTGTAAAAACAGACATAAGGAAAGTCATATCAGGGGTATTTGCAAACGGTGTCGTGATCGATAGCTTTCTCTGCCGTCGCGTTGGCCCCACCCCCACACATTGCTCTGGTTTCCCCCCATGTGACACTCTGGCACGCTCAGCACGGAGGTGGGGGGAGCGGGGGGAGGGCGAGGTGGGACCGAGGAATGGAGAGAAATCTCATCAACAGCATGTCCTACGGGCCTGGCGTGCAATTATTACTGCTGAGAGAGCACTGCGCTCACCAAAAGCTGTCTCTTCAATTTCCTGCAGTTAATGGATGAGGCTTCATTCGAAATGAATTCCATCGTCCCCCCTGGAAGCGTGGAAAGGGGCGTGGCCTCGGGCGTTAATTGACTTACTGCTCACTTATGAGTTTTTGTCTCAGCCTTAATTGCCACCATCTAAATCAGCACCTGCTAGGGTCTCGTATCGATCCGCTGAGACCAATGTGAATCCGTAGCGGGTTTTCGCCTCGCATTTGTTCCCAGGGACGCGTGGGCGCCTTTTCGGATAACGAACAGCGGGATTCGAAAAGGATAAATGACTTTCCTGCTTGTTGTGGTAGTGTGGAGCTCCTCTTTTATTGCGCCTTCTGTTAATAGACAAGATTCCCAGACGCATCGGTCTTCTGCTAGCAGGGATTAATCTCCTGTGAGGGGGGGACGCTTGTGGCCTGTCGCGGTAAACAGCTGCTTTCTATGCACTCTCTAAAGCCTATGATTAAACACAGCCACCTGTGGGTGCTCCCCCCCCCCCACCCTGTAGCACCAGAAGGCCCACGAGGACCGCACCGCCCTCCAATACAGCTTCTACGAGGTGATCTCCGCAGGACACCACTCCCCGGCTGAGCTGCGCTCCCTCCAAAGCCGCTGCCTTGTCCCAGGCCTGTACGCCACCCACCTCGAGCGATGGCTCACCTACTTCCCCCCTAGCCAGGTAACACGCCGCCCCCTACTGGTCGGCCAGGGTGAAGAACACATTCTTAATTTACATTCAGTATTTTCAACTTCCAAACATATTAGGTGTGCCTGGAATGGTCCAAGTAGTTACTAAACTTACTAAACTTTCCGGTTTATTAAATTGTAATTGTGTACTACGTGAAAGTAGCCGGAAAACAAATAATTGGGGATAATTTATTGAAATGCACAAATCTCAGCCGTTCTGCAGTCTAATCGGTGACCCCCTCCCCGTGTTCATAGCTTCTGATCATCGACGGCCAGCAGTTGAGAAACGACCCTACTGCTGTCATGGATGAAGTTCAGAAGTTCTTAGGAGTCTCTCCATATTACAATTACTCTCAGGCTTTGACGTGAGTTATCCGCATTCAAGTTGGATGATCCTTCATGCTGTTATAATTAAATGAGCTCATTTACTAGTCTTGTTTTTTTTTTCACATGGTTAAGTAAGCCAGTAGGAAACATAATGCCCCCACTCTTCGATCGGGGGCTGATACTGGCAATTGCCCAGGGTGGCATCTTCTTCCCCAATACACATTTTTAATCACCCATCTCACAGTTTTCTCTGCAGCTAGGTTGGACATTTATGCAGAAGTTTACATGAAGAAGTGGAAAGTCCAGGTCCAGAAAGTAGAAATCCAGACCAAGATTTTGTTTCAACCAACCAATTGAGAATAAAGAGTCCCATTGGTTGAAACTAAATTTTGGTCTGGATTTGTACTTTATATGGGCTTTGATGGACACTGCCCCCGACTGCAAAAATTAACAAACAACACACCTTATTGGTCAGCGATGGGGGAGAAAAAAAAAAAAAGCTTCGGATGACACGCAGCTGAACAGAACCTCGCATCCGTTTCAGTTCCAGTGTGCGAACAGGAATTCCCCGAGGGCCCACGCCTGTGTGAGTGACGCGTCACCTGGGATGCCCCCGGGGTGAGATGGAAGGTGCCGTTTGGATGTTCAGGAAGTGGTGCCGGGCAGTAATACAGATATCAGATAGCTGCTTATCTCAGCACCGGGAAGCTCCCATGTCAGCCGACAGCCAGCTCAGCATGCACAAGCCCGACAGGTCCATCAATCATGTGATACGCAAGGCGCTTATTAATATCCAGTGCTACACTGCGGTTAGCCTCATCTGAACGTGGCCTCTCGCAAAGTGGAACTCCCCACAGCATTTGGCCAGTGCCACTTCCTGTTATCCAAGCTCCACCCTCCCCCCTATCCTGATTGGTTGAAAAAACAGGTGCCTTGTTTTCAAAGATGCTGATATCTCAGTTTGTGTGGACTGTCAGGGAGTACGGGCGGTGAATCTTCCGTGTATCTTACTGGTTTTCTTTAAGGTATTCTAACTCATTATAAAGATAATTGTAAAGATATTCTTTCTGGGAAGTGTTAACCTCTGACGTTCCTCCAATTTTTCAGTGCTTAGCTACAGTATGTGGATGCCTGAGAGAATGGAACTCAGTGTGAGGATCTCGTTTGCCGATTAGCAAAAAGTTCAGCCGACTTTCGCGCGGATGCCGAAATGCCAAGGGCCTTAAAAAAACAGACAGGCGAACGTTGAAAATCCTCCAGATGTGAGAAGTACTGGATTAACGTAATCATTTTTTGATCCCGTCGGTCCCAGTGTGGGTAAAGCTGTCGCCTTCTTTTTTTTCAGGTTCGATCCTCAGAAGGGATTTTGGTGTCAGCTGCTGGAAGGCGGGAAGACAAAATGCCTGGGGAAGAGCAAAGGACGGAAGTACCCCCCCATGACCGCTGAGGTATCTCGCCATTCGCGCTTAAAAATCACAGCTTGTTGTCTGTCTCGCTTGCTCTGTATTTGACGAAAGAATATGAACAGTTTCTGAGTAGGTGACAGAATTTCTCGGTGAATTCCGTTGGTCCTGATTAAAAATAGTCTTGAATTGACTGGCCAACCGATCAATTGACCAACCGACACACAGAAAGTCGGACAGACAGACAGAGATTTTATCCAGTAGCTTATTCAATATAGCACATGCCTGCTAGTTAATTTTTTGCTTCTTTCGGCAACAAGCGGCAGTTAGATGGTGACTCATCTCTGAAGCTCATTCTTCTTCCGGAATCAGACAGTCATTTGAGCCTGGATAAAATCTAATGGATTCAACCACATTTTCACCCAGCATTGTGTGTCCCCTGGTGTATCCTACCGTTTACGGTCATGCAGATGTTAAATGGATTATGCCTTTAAACCCAAGTATATAGCAATTCAACAATTCAGGAATATAAATATTATGTAATGTAGTATCGCGTATATTGTGGAATAGAGAATTTGGAGAGCCTGTGAAATTGTGGGCATTGACTGACTTGAGACTGCAAGGAAATTACAGAGAAACGGCTGTAGAGAAAGAGTTGCATTTCAGGAGTCCTTTGAGTGTTTGTTTAAGCCTCTGAAAGGTATCAGTTTACATACATACCTTGTAGCTGAGTATGGGGGGCCTTTGTTTTAAGCCATAAAATAAAAACCTTCAAAAAAGAGCCCTTAATTTGACAAATTAGCATATCTCCAAAAAAAAAGAAGATTTGTTTTGTTTTCACAGTTGTCTTACATAAAGGAAGTTTCAGTAATTAAAACGAAAACCCTAGATGCAGTTACTACCATTTCCAGTATTACAGTTAACGTCTGCTTTTTTAAAAAAACATTTAAATAAATTCTTTGTTGTTTGAAAAATGTTGCAGTAGCTTTTCCCTATAAATTCATTTGCATTCTTCCCCCCCCCCCGTATGAGGTAGTATTAATTCCATAAGTATGTATATAGTATTATTTAAATGTAACAATCTGTATATTTTAGCGATTTAAAATATTTCAACGTTAAAACATCGCCTTTTAGTGTTCCTTTTCAGCACATGTGTCCTGCCCTTCCCTAACAAACAGCCCCACAGAAAACAAAAGATAAATGAAGAATCCGTACTTAACAGGACTTTCCCAACTCCGGATGTGTCGCATGTTACGTTCCCATGGCCATGTTAGTCGCTGGCTGAGAGCCAAGCTTGTCACCAGCTTCCAAAAAAGCAGACTGCATTTTTAAAGGGGCTTTAAAATTTAAAAGGTTTATTGATTAGTGGGAGTACAGTAGACCGTTTCCCATGGAAAACAAGTCCAACCCGACCTACTGCTAATTAACTTATTTCCTCCGCCAAACTGAATCTCTTTTCTTGGCAGTGTGGTTCGCTAATAGCTTTGTCAAACTACTTTACGGCTGAAAGACGGTATACAGTATGTAGTCCCCTAGGTATAACGCTTCCAGGTGACAGGTGAAGAAAATAAATAGTGGAAAATCCAACAAAATACAATAATAGCTAGCATGGGTTAATGCGATTATTTTATCGGAAATGTCTGCCTGGCCTTACAGCTACCTGAGGGAATTTAATTGTGCAATTTCACTTAGCCTGGTGACTTTCATTGTCGTAATTGTGGAGTCTGTGGAGTGTCGGGGGCGTGGAATCGCACGGAATAACGATGTCCACTGATGAGTCTAGAGTGCCCATCAGAACGTTATAAAGCAGCCTGATTGGTCAGGGGTTTCCTAGAATACAGTCACACTAGTGCTAAGCTAAGAGGAGGAGATGCTGTTAGACTGTGAGACATTTCTGCAAATATATAAACAGACAAGTTATTTTTTCCTGGTTGGTCAGGAGGGTATTGATTAATTTCCTATAAGCGCACATGTAGTTCCAACCAGTAAATCACAGTAATCAATCAATGCGCTGTTATAATCTTTAATTCTAACATTGCATAAAATGCCAAAAGTACAAAATCATTTAAAATTAACCAAAACTAAACAGAAATGTTCAATTGTTGGCAGAAGAAAGTAGTCCTACTAATAAATGCATTTTCAGCTTGTAAATGTGGAACTAATTTAGGTACCACCGTGAGCAGGATGTGCAGTGACCGTGGTGGGCCCAGTGCACCACATGTCGCCCATCATACGTTTTTAAACGCATTCCGCTGTGCGTCAGGTGGTTCTTTGCCTCTGCAGCTTTGTGTTTAAAAATATATGCACAGTTTGTCATGCATTAACTTGTTTGT